TCCTCAACGGTATACTGTAACTACCTTGTGTTTGAGCTTGTACAATTTGTGTTGATTAGAACTTTGCACCTATGTATATTATAAGTAACAAAACGGGTACATGTAGCTTTACACTGAAAATGGTAAAATAATAAAATAAAAACTGCGTTTAAAAAACTGACTTTAAAAACCAAAAACTAATAACAAACAAAAAGTCAAAACTAAAAAGCAAAAAATAACTATTATTAGTACTGATAGGTTACCCACCCACCGATAGGTTAGAAGTCGGTGCCATAAGCTCATATCATTTCGTATTTAATGGTCAAAGTCAAAGCATTTATTTCAATTAAACCATAATTTGGTACTTTTGAAACATCATCATCATCATCATCATCATCAGCCTGTATTCGTCCACTGCTGGACATAGGCCTCTCCTATGGCACGCCACTGAGCTCGGTCTTCAGCTCTTCTCATCCAACCACTGCCAGCCACCTTACAGATGTCGTCACTCCACCTAGCTGGAGGGCGCCCTACACTGCGTTTGCCTAGACGCGGTCTCCACTCTAGAACACGTTTACCCCAACGGTTATCGGTTCTTCGACAAATGTGACCGGCCCACTGCCACTTCAGCTTACTGATCCTTTGGGCTATGTCGATAACTTTGGTTCTCTGTCGGATCACTTCGTTTCGGATTCGATCCTTCAGAGAGACTCCGAGCATAGCCCTCTCCATAGCTCGCTGCGCGACCTTAAATTGGTGGACCAGCCGCACTGTCAGTGTCCACGTCTCGGCTCCGTATGTCATTACTGGAAGGACGCACTCGTTGAAGACTTTTGTCTTCAGGCTTTGCGGTATCTGAGACGAGAAGACTTGATTAAGTTTTCTATATGCTGCCCAGCCAAGCTGTATCCTTCTACGGGCCTCCTTTTCGAAGCTGTTCCTACCTAACTGCAGGGTTTGTCCCAGGTAGATGTATTCCTGAACGACTTCGAGAGGCGACCCGTTGAGAACAATTGTCTCCGGAATGACATGTTCATTGAACATTATTTTTGTTTTGTCCAAATTCATCCGGAGCCCAATGCGCGCGGAAGAATCAGCCAGGCTGCTCAGGATATATTGCAAGTCCTGAACGGTTTCAGCCACGATGACGATATCATCTGCAAATCTCAAGTGTGAGAGATACTTGCCGTTTATGTTTATGCCCCGTCCTTTCCAATGCAGTGTCTTGAACATATCCTCCATAGCATTTGTGAACAATTTGGGGGATATAACATCTCCTTGTCTCACTCCTCGATGCAGGTGAATAGGTTCAGACTGCTGATTTTGTACTTGGACGGCCATAGTCGCAGCTTCGTACAGTTCTCTCAGCACTTGGATATATCGCCAGTCGACTTGGCACCGTTGTAAGGACTCCAGAACAGACCAGATCTCGATAGAGTCAAAGGCCTTCTCATAGTCCACGAACGCCAAGCATAGAGGCCGATTATACTCCTCGGTCTTCTGTATAATCTGCCTCATCGTGTGAATGTGGTCCATGGTGCCATATCCTCCTCGGAACCCGGCCTGCTCGGGAGGCTGAAACTCATCAAGCCTTCGTGCGAGACGATTCGTGATGACCCTGGAAAACAGCTTATAGATGTGGCTCAAAAGAGAAATAGGACGATAGTTCTTCAAAAGGGTTTTATCTCCTTTTTTGAAGAACATAACGACAATGCTTCTGCTCCACACCCTAGGAGTTCTCCCCGTGAAGAGGACGGAATTAAATATACTTTGGAGCCGCTCGAGAATCGGTTTTCCCCCTGCCTTAAGGAGCTCCGTCGTAATTCCGTCCTCACCGGGGGCTTTTCCATTTTTAAGCTGCCCCAAAGCCACCACGATTTCGTCTTGGCTGACCTCTGGCAGCTCTTCAGTGAAGTGGCGGACAAGTGTGGCCCTGGGATCCCCCGAGTATGATTGAGGTTGGGGTGCTTGTGACGCATATAGATCACCGTAGAAGCGCTGAACTTCCGCAAGAATCTCCGGCCCAGAAGCGACGACTTTTCCCTCAGATGTAGTCAGCTTCGTCAGATGGCTTCGACCTAGTTGCTGGATGAAAACTTTTGACCCCCGATTTCGCTCGATCGCTTCTTTTATAGCGCGTGTGTTGGAGCACCGAAGGTCACGTCTTACCTGCTTCGAGATCTTTCTATTAAGATCCGACGAAGCGACTGCTGGGTTTTCACGTCGCCTCCTCATCAGCTGCAGAGACTCCCCCGAAAGCCTCGCCCTCCTGCCGGTATTTTGCGCCCGCCACATTTTCGTCCCCTCATCTCGGAGTATCCCGACCATTTGGTCGAGTTTTTGGTCAATATCAGCGTCTATTGTGGTTTCCAAGACAGCGAATCGATTTTCCAGTTTTAGCTGGAAGCTTTCGGACCCGACAACAGTTTGGAGCAAATTAGGTCGGAGCGTAGACTTCATAAGACGGGCACGCTCGAATTTGTGTTTGATGTTTAGAGTGCCTCGTACCAGTCGGTGATCACTTCCTGTGTTGAACCTATTGATCACAGAGACATCTCTAAATATTCGCTTTTTGTCCGTCATAATGAAATCTATCTCATTTTTAGTCATAGTGTCGGGGCTCCGCCACGTCCACTTCCGTTGAGGCTGCTTCTTAAAGAAGGAGTTCATCAAGAATAGCCCCTCCTTCTCCAGGAAGTTGACGAGCATTTGTCCCCTATGATTTCTGCTACCAAGCCCGTGTGGTCCTATTACCGATTCGCCGCTAATATGTACTCCCACTTTTGCGTTAAAATCCCCCATGACAACGTTGAAGTGGGCCTTTTGGGTGGTATGCAAGGCCCTAGAAATGTCCTCGTACATTTCCTCTACTTCGTCGTCCGAATATGTCGAGGTAGGGGCGTACACTTGGATGACTTTTAGGTTATACCTCTTAGTAAGTTTAATCACAAGGTACGCTACCCTAGTCGACACGCTGGAGATCTCCAAGACGCTGTTTGAGAGGGATTTGTGGACCATAAACCCGACGCCGCCTTGAGATGGTTGATCCCCTTCCCTAAAATACATGAGATGGCCAGACTCCAAGGTCACTGTGTCCTCCCCCTGTCTTCGGACTTCAGACAGCCCCAGAATATGCCACCTCATGTTACCCAGTTCCACTTCGAGCTGAGCCAGGTGTTCTTCGAGCCGTAGCGTGCGTCCGTTGTACGTAGCCAGGGTCAGTTGGTGTTGTCGGCCTTTCGTAGCCCGGGGATTCTTAGCACCCCCTGTCCCGCCGTTACCATGGCCGCCGACTTGGCCAGGAATAGCGGGGCGACCGGGAACTAGGGGCCGTTTTTTGAGGTGCCGTGCCATATAAGGTAATGCCCATAATCACCACGCTGGGCAGGCGGGTTGGTGATCGCAGGGCGTAGCTCCTCGCACTAGTGACGCTGCTCCCCGTCACTAGTCTGAAATTTTGCTACGCCTATTTAGAATGGTTATTCCGCCATGTGTCGGTCGCCAGAGCCTCGTCCGTTAGTCAGCAGGATGTACCACGAGCAGGTGAGGTTGGCTGGGGCACTGAGATGGTGTTGTGCCCCTTACACCCCTTACACTTTTGAAACATCATCAAATACAAAATAAATAATAGTCTCTGACCATGAGCACCTAGGTGCTCATTCCAAAATGTAGATTCGAATGGAGAAGAACAAGAAGTAAACTTGATTCGTTACTCTTTTGAAAAAAAGTCTGTTTTACATGTCTCTGATACATATTCCAATACTGTACGTATATGTATGTGAGAACAGAGCAAAGACACGCTTGATGCATTATACAAATTAGAAAACTTACTAAAATAAAAAACAAAACATATAACATGGTGCTCACATATGACATATGCATACTGACAATCTATAAAAATCGTGCTTATCTATCTATACTTATAATAAATCTGTAGAGAGGTAAATTCTGTACATAAAATATATTTAAAAAATAACTATCAAGGGGTGGTTAGGGATCGCTACTAATGCCAAAAATGCAATCAGTAAAATTTTTGTCTGTCTGTCTGTATGTTCGTTATGGAAACAAAAACTACTCGATGGATTTTAACGAAATTTGGCACAATTATTCTTCATACTCTTGGGCAGGTTATAGTATACTTTTCATTACGCTACGATCAATAGGAGCAGAGCAGTGAAGGGAAATATTGGGAAAACGGGAGAAGTTACTCCATTTTTTAAACTTCCGTCGCGTGTGCAGGCTATATATCGCCTGCTGATATAGCTGCAGGCTATATTATAGCTTATAGGTTAAAGCTGCATAGAAATCATGTATGACGGAAATATTCTCCTTAAAATTATATAAAAAATATTCCTCGACAGCATATGTCTATCTTTTATGGTTGACTCACAATAACACGTGAAACTCCCGATAGCTTAGCAATTCGGTGATTTCTGATTGTATTTGTCTACTCTAACGTTCACAATACTCATTCATAGACTTTACGCTGTAACTGAAAGGCCAATGGTTGAAATTAGCTTGACTCGATATTATAAATGAAAATATGTGAGTTTATGTGTATGTTTGTTACTCAGTCATATTAAAACGACTGAAGGGACCGGAATGAAATTCGTAACAGGTAGATTATGGTCTGAAGTAATACATAGGCATTTTACCCCTGGGACCGCGGGCGAAGCCGCTGGCAGAAGCTAGTATACAATAAAAAGGAAACTCTTTGTTTCAATAAAGAAAGAAATGCTTGATGCCATAAGGAAACTAGATTGTCTATATTAGAACGAAAGTATTAAATTACCTATTATTATTGGAAACTGAGTAACTACTGACTACATTTGAATATTGTCCAGTGGAGCCGAACCAACATGCTGCCAAGCATTCTTATCTTTAAGATTATCTGTCAGTCAATGGTTAACAAATGTTGTAAGTCTACATAGTATACAACCCTAACGTCCCAACAGACACAAATAAAACAAATTCCTACCTTCGAAGTTCGTATCCATGTCAAGGTTTCGTTATGTCCTCAGGCACTCGCGAGCAAGCATATGTGTACGCAATGTCTGCGGCGGCGCTGACGTGGTCGGTGGCTCGCGCGTGCGCGGCCGGCTCGTTGCCAGCGTGCTCGTGCGCTGCGCCTCCGCGTGCGCCGCCTCGTCCTCCGCGACAGGCACAGATCACACCTGCCGAGCCTCATGCCAGATTCAAATGGGGTGGATGTGGAGATAATTTTCAATGGGCTGAAAGGTACATGAAAGAATGTAAAACCATATATTACGCCACGACAGACAAGTATACAGGTATATACAAGTATACAGGTACAAGTATACAGGTATGCGTAGACAAGAATACAGGTATACATACAAAAATAATGGTGCGTAGCAGCGCAAAAGGCCGGAGCTCAGCTTAATACTGTGGCGTGGCCACCTAGGCGCTGATATTATCAGCACCAGCCTGTAGTAGTAATACATAATAATACACCTACGGTAACGCTGCTTGCACAACATGACATAATTACAAGAATAAAATAAAAATGAAAACAAAACGAACAGAAATAATAAGTTACAAAAAAAACTAAATAAGTAGATATAAAATAAATAATTAAATATTAACAAGAATAAAATTGCATTATATTCCACATAGTGAAAGTATATTTTAAATGACTCTTATTTGTTTCTAATATAGGTACTCGCCTGAGTGAAGAAATGACTTACCCAACCTCACTATCTATATCATACACACACCTATACATTATAGCAATGTATGTACGACCACCCCCAATTCGATAATCATTTTTTTATATCTTGGTAACTTTAACAGGTTCGCGAAGCAATTTCTAGATGCTCATGAAATAGACGTCCGAGAAGGTAAAGTGGATAATATCCTGGAAATAGAGACAACTACGACAGAGCTACCTACCACTACTACCACTACAACAACAACTATAGAACCAACCACGATACCACCCGTAGTCATCTTAGTGGATGACCAGCCCGCGCCAGCTAATACCAGTACACCTCCAAAGATCAAGAAGAAAGGACGTCGCGGACGAAAGCGTCTACCACGATCCCCGCGACGAGGCCGGCCTACACGGAAAAGGTTCAGATCTAGACCGAGGTTAGCGTATTAAAGCGTTATTGCACGACAACCATCAGACTACGTCAAGCTTTCCTACAGCAAAACGCATAACGTGGCAATATAATCAAGATCAAACTAATTTATGAAAATACAGAGTAGGTACTAAGATATTATATTTTTTCATCAGGTATGACTATGACGACAGAGGCTCCAGATACCGCAATATCGAATATCGTATGGCGGCCGACGACCCGAGGTTTGACCCTCAAGTGGATTTGCGAACACGACTCGAACGACTGCGAGAGCTAATTGCATCTGCTAACCTGATGAATGGACGATTTGGAAGAAAGGTATGAATATGATAATAAAGAAATATAATTAGGTATCTTCTATCTAGGTTATAATTACTACAATATTTAGTTAGCAAAATCAATTACCCACAGGAATGTACTCGCCAGTGGCGGTAATCGGCTGCCATTAGCATGTAGCGTTCTATCTAACTACAGCTGGTACTGAAACTTCTTAGCGCTTAGAAGTGCCTTTCATGGTTTGAGCAAATTTTGAGTCAGGCATCGGTTTGTGTGCATGTGCAGGCGGTGTCTGCCGGAATGCGCACGAAGTGCACGTGCCACGGCGTCTCGGGCTCGTGCTCGGTGCGCACGTGCTGGCGCGCGCTGCCGACGCTGGCGCGCGTGGCGGCGGCGCTGGCGGGCGAGGCGGCGCGCGCCGGCCCGCTGCGCCCGCACGCCCGCCACGCGCGCCGCGCCCGCCCTCGCCTGCGCTACGTCACGCCCAGCCCCGACTACTGCGAGCCCGACCCCGCCGCTGGCTCGCTCGGCACGCACGGCAGGTACGATCGACACACTCAACATCTCATAACAGTATTTCTTTAAAAATCTACAAATCTCTTCGGAGATAAATAAAACTATTAAATTGTATCTAGAGACAAATTACATTAGAATCTTGGCTTATTTTTTTTGCAAATTCATGTAGCAGTGTTGTCCCCGTCCGCAGGAAATGCAACGCGAGCCTGGGCAGCGCAGCAGGCGGGTGCGGACGGCTGTGCTGCGGTCGCGGGCGGCGCGCGGTGCGGTCGAGCCGGTTGGAGCGCTGCCACTGCCGGTACCACTGGTGCTGCCGCGTCGACTGCCAGCTCTGCCGCCTCACCACCGAGGAACACTACTGCAACTGATCTACTTAAGCACCGGTTATTCTTACGGAACTTAAATTAAAAAGCATACCAAATTAGCTGTAGGAGAATATCTCCAAATTACAGCTACCTAATCAAAGAAACTTATCTGTATACATTAGGTAGATACCACTCTTTGCACAAGTTAACGAAACCGAAATAAATTACTTTGAGGAGCATTTCGAACTCCGACTCTGGAGGACAAATTTTCATTTACCAAACAATTGTTAACATTACTTAACAAATAATATGTTATAGGCCTTCGAATAACATGGTGACCGCCTTACCATGTTTAGACAATAGCATTTTTTACGGTGATTAATTTTAAGCCGTACAAGTATATTTTGAACCAAAGAGATACAATATAATATTTGACTAGTCATATACCTTCCTAAGCAATTGATATTAAATAGTTCCGATTATCTCTTGTAATGCTTGTTAACTTGTAATCCTTAAAACTACTGAAAAAAGGAATACGCTTGTTTTCGAATTGCTTAAAAGTTTTCGTGAAAGTTAATAAATTGAGACGCTGGAATAAGAATACTCACCGACCAACTGTGAACTAAATTTGAACCATTTCATAAGGTTAATTAATTGAGATCTCCAGGTACTGAGGTACCTCTTCCAATGACAAATCCTGCGAACTGTGTATGCAATTTACGTTATTGTGAGAAATATTTTGAACAGCGTTATCAGTACTTTACTGTACGTACTTAGAACTCTTCACATTTCTAAATGGTTTTATTTATTCGTTAAGACTGTCTGTTATTTTGTAACATATCGGAAGTTATAATTCCAGTGTATTATGTAAGTTAGTATGTACTTTCAAATATTTCGACAATAAATTGTATTGAGTAAAAAATTACAACGTGTTTGTCCACCGCTGTATATTCAGCTATTATGTATATTCCGTTTAGTGCTAATGCACATCTCTATTCTGTCACGAAGATTTGTAATCTTTTTAATAAAAGACATAATTTATTCTACGGTAGGTAAATGTACTAAGTATTTTATTCCTAGTGTCATTTATTCGCATTGGTGTACATATTGTAGTATTTATTAAACTCTTCCCTACTTACTTGTAGATTTAGACATTTTTCTGTCAAATTAACTTTAATGATTCGTAGTTTTAGTCGTATTCGATATCTATAGACGTTTCATGTCAAATGATAATTTATTACTTAGCTGTTTAAGATCCCTTGTATATAAAAGTCGTACTTAGAATAGAACATAAAAAGCTGTTTCATTTACAAATCAAATAAACCTTTCGCTACTTTTATATATATATATATATATATATATATATATTTACATCCTAGAACCGTTTTGGCGTCACACATGTCGCGCATCATTATGACGTCCCCCAGTTCCCCTTAATTTTTTTCATATGTCTTGATGAATATTGCTTAGTTATTCGATTTCTAGCTTTGTAGGATACGTCATTTTCCGATAATTTTATTTTTCACGATATTCTTCTTGCAGTCATGCTGCAACATTTTTGAACCCCAAACCATCGTGATAACTAATTGGGCTCCTAGATATATTGAACGTGATTTAACTATGGCTTCGGCTAATTAACGTCCTCACAGCGTGGATGGTATTTGCGAGTGCAACGTTGCCAGCTTTGGGTTCACTTGTCTCTTTCTTTTCCTCTCTCTTGTCACTCGTCTGGGACAGAGTTTTAACAGTATTACAATATTCGTAAAATCTATCAATACATATACTAATGCCTGATATTGGTATAATATTGGTAACAAGATGAAAAAAATTGAGGTTTCTATGAGATTTTAAATTAGAAGATGCCGCAGTAGGAATAACACATTTTTTAAATGTTTGTCTAGTCTATTCCGTACATAAATACAAATCGGTTCAGCCCGTATGTGTCGGCGCGGCGTACCGGTTTTACAAATTTATCTAAAGAAAGAAACTCAGAACTCAATTTTTATTTCAAAGCAAGCAAGAGTAAAATAAGTGAAAGTTTCTTCCCCAGCGGTCATCATGTAAGATCATCTATAACTGTGAAAGATCATCTAGCTATTGGGCGTCCGTATATAGTTATTCATCATCATCAGCCTATTTAAGTCCACTGCTGGACTAGCACCATCTACTGGGCTACGTTAGGAATTCAAAAATGGTCATGCAAATTTCAGTTGACATAAAACGCTATGGTCATCAAGTAAAAGGCTACATCATACTGCTCACACACGGAAATGGGAGGTCCGTTGATTGCGGATCCTGACAATTGACATGGTAATGGCAGGGGTCCCATGCGGAGCCTGACGATGGCCATGCGGGCGAAGAAAGTTTCTTCCTCAGCAGGTATCACTTAGCTATCGAACGTCCGTATATAGCTATTGGGCGTCCGTATATAGCTATTGAACGTCCATATATAGCTATTGGGCGTCCGTATATAGCTATTGAACATCCACGTACTTCCTCAGCAGGTGTCATGTTAGATTTGCGGAGTGGCTTGAGAAACAGAGACGCTACGGCGTCCTCATCTACCGCCTGACGCAGGTGCTTACCGGACACGGAAATTTCGGTAGGTTCCTGCTTCGGATTGGGCGGGAGGAAACGCTCGGGTGTCATCATGGCGAGGGCCGCCCGGGGACACGGTGGAGCATACGGTGGCAGTGTGCCCTGCGTGGGCTGAACACCGCCGTGTCCTCAGGAATGTGATCGGCGACGGCGACCTCTCGCGTCCGACACTGGTTCAGACCATGGTACAGAGTGAGGGAGACAGGGATACCGTCTCCTCCTTCTGCGAAATAGTCCTGCTAGCTAAGGATTAGGCGGAGCTCGTGAGGGAACGAGCCTCCTCACGGTCCAGCCGTCACGAGAGACACTCCAGGCGTCGGGGATCGCGAAACGGTCTCCGTCCACCGTAAGCACGGGCCTGCGGTCGGCGAGCACGGATGACTTGCCGCCCGATCAGAACCAGACCCAAACGTACGGCCCGTCGCGTTGTGCATACGCCCCAAGGAGCCATCAGACCACCCCGTATGGAGCTGATGCCGATACGGAGCCGCGGAGGACTTAAAGGGTGACCGGGGCTCCGACTCGAAGTGCAGGAATAGGAACGGGGTGGTTTTAAGTCAGTAAGAGTCGGAAGGTACCTGTGTCTGATGGGGCGGGAGAAAAGGTCCGAGTGTCATCATTGTGAGGAAGGCCCTGAGAACACGGTGGAACACACTATAGCGGAATGCCCTGCGTGGGCTGAGCACCGCCGTACCCTCAGGGAAGTGATCGGCGATGGCGACCTCTCGCGTCCGGGCCTAGTGCAGGCCATGATGCGGAGCGAGGGGGACTGGGATGCCGTCTCCTCCTTTTGCGAAGCAGTCAAGCTAGCTAAGGAGGAGGCGGGACGCGTGGGTGGCTCCCCGTCCGACCAGAAACAGACCTGAACGTGCGGCGCGTCGCGTTCCGCGCGCGCCTCAAAGAGCCATAAAACCACCACAGATGGGGCCCAACAGGGCCGATACCGAGTCGGAGTCGCGGAGAACCTAACGGGTAACCGGGGCTCCGGCTGGACGTGCAGGAGAAGGAACGGGGTGGTTTTTAGTCAGTAAGAGTGACACTCCCTCCCGCCTTACCTGGGCGGGAGCAGTCATTCGATGATTTTCCCCGCTTAAAAAAAAAGTCAGTAAGAGAAACTTTCTCTGAAACTTCTACTCGCCTCACCCGCGCGGCCGCCGGCGGCCGGCGGGAAAAGGCATTGGATGATTTTTTATCCCTCAAAAAAAAAAAGGTATCATGTTAGATCACCTAGCTATTGATCGTCAGTATATTGCTGTTGAACGTTCGTATATAGCTATTGGGCGTCCGTATATAGCTATTGAACGTCCGTATATAGCTATTGGGCGTCCGTATATAAATATTGGGCGTCCGTATATAGCTATTGAACGTCCACGTATAGCTATTGGGCGTCCTTAATTAGTAAAGATAATAAGAATATATCTTATTACTAGAATGGTTTTATAAAGTATATATGTTCAAAACTTCTTTCATTTAGGCTGGTTTCAGAGCTAGGAGATTGGGCAGCGCTGCTGAAATGCCTCGCGCTTGGAGATGATGAGAGCTCTAGCATCGTTTTATTGCGACGCGACTGTCATAGAGGTAGAGGTCCCAGTAGAGGACTTTATCGCTAGAAATTATGATCTATGAGATACACTTTTATTTTAATCTAAAGCTTAAGTAACTGAAGACCGCACCTAATCTGATCTTTATGCGCAAATATTGTATTAAATTTCAATTTCATTTAAGGCAAGATTCCTAATTTAATACTTCTAGTTGTGGCCACTCGATTAACTCCTCTATTGGATTGTTGCCTGATGCCTCTATTGTTGAAGCCCGCGCTTCAGCCGCGCTGCCCATATCCCCTAGCTTTGAAACCAGCTCTAATTGTATCAAATATTTAATTGGCAGCTTATTGATATGAAGTTACCAATTCTAAGTAAGCAAATAAAAACAAAGAATATGGATATCATTTTACTGCCTCGTTGGCCGAGTGGTCGCAAGTGCGATCGCCTGGCAAAGAGTCTCGGGTTCCATTCCCGGGTTGGGCAAAATATTACTGGGTTTTTTCAAGAGTCTGGAAGTGTGCCCGGTATATGGTAATAAGCTCACCCCCTATTACATGGGACTCATAACCTCATAACATAAATAGTAAAACTGTGGATATTACATTGTACAGTGGCATTAAGTGCCGTAATGTGCATCTCTGCTTACTCCTTCGGGGAAAAAGGCATGATGTTATGTTATGTTAAATATGGATATCACTTTTAATGAAGTGTTTATGTTTTGTAATCAAAAACATTTATTCCTAATTGGATCTTTATAACACGCCGAGGGCTAGAGATAAGAAGACAAACGTTGATTGATTTGATCAGTAATACAACATTAATTAATTATTCAGTATTAGATGCATCTTCTAACCACATAAATAGATAAAGTTAATAAAATTACGTCAAAATTTATACGGAGACTATATTATCTAAATACACATTTAATACGAGTTAAATTCTGGTTAACCTTTTTTGTGGTAAGACATATAATTTTGTCACTTTAGTACTTACTTCTAAGATCCCTTTAAGGAATTAATTTATACCCTCATCTATTATAATATATCACTGATAGGTACTCATTTACAAATTGAGAACAGGGTTGCAGATAAGTTGTTGTAAGTTGCAATCACATGATTATAATAAAATCGGACTCCAAATAATACGCAACACATCCGAAATCTACGACGATGAATATTGTTTTAAATGCGGTAGATAATATTATGAACTATTTCCACAGATTTAATAAACGAGCTGGCAACGTCGCTGTCATTTTTTTGAGGACGCTAAATAAGCAAACTTATAGTCAGAAAATCCCAAAAATATACAGCTGTGGATATACGCGCTACAGCAGCGCTCTATCCGCGCTGAGATTTCTTTGGGAACTTTTCAAAATACTATAACAGCCATTGATCCGATCTTTTGGCTTCTGTCGATTTTTAACCTACGTGTAGCCAGGACCAAAAGGACCTAAGTTGCATAGGCCAAAAAAGTGGCGTCCGGTATGCGGACGCCAAAAGCTGGTGGACGCCAGATTAAATGCACTTTCGCCTTCATGGGACGTACAATCGATTGCGGGATGTAAATATACATATATAACACGTATAAAACATTAAGTGGTGTACTTATAAACGTACCTCATCCGCTATTTGTCCCACACAATAATTTGAAAACCAAAACCTAGGGACATTAAACCAAGGCCGAACGTAATAAAAAGAATGAATGTGAATTAAATCAATGTTCGAATCAAAACACCAAAAGAAGAAAAGAGAGATAACAATGAAAGAAAGTTGTAAATGTGACATAGGTTTATTTACAATACTATTGTATTCTAGCAATGCATTATGTTAATCACCAATTAAATATACTGAGCAACATGAATTATAGGAATATGGTCTAATGTCTTACAACCAATCAAAAGACTGTAAAATCAATTCACTAACATGTGAGATCTCGAGACTGCTTCATAATTTACCTTACATAATCATACAGACGGCTGTTTTATCACTAAAATTATATTTTGGAATTTGTTACTGGAAATATAAAAATAAACTTTCGCTACAATAGGTATTCAGTTAAACAGGAAGATAATCCTTTCACTTATCAACTAAAAATCACATCATTTTTACTTATTTGATAACTGGTGGTAGAGATGCTTATACAAGCGACGTTGCAGACATCGCTGTCTCAGCACAATTATAACAGAAAACAAGTACTAGTTGTGAGAAGAATTTGATGCTTTATTATACATTTTGAAATATGGCATCGTAAATTGGCAGAAGTGAGTTTATAATTAAATCATGGATAAATAACGTCAAATTCAGACAAATAATTTCATACTTAATGTATTGCCGAAAGTTAGGATTCTATAGAATAACAAATATGTTACATGAAACCTAATAATTTACAATTATTGTGTGAAAATAAAGACTTATATAGTACAAACTTGATAATAAGAGTTGTTCAGCCGTAACTAATGCTGAACTATGCGGATACAGTGAGCATTTCCTATTAACACATTCACCCGAACTCGACATTCAACAAAATTGGAATAAACTAATAATATCAAACACTTTATTTAGTTCATCATAACTCCGAATGCTCCTCGTGTTCTGAAACAAAAATGTATTAATAGTATACCTTGCTGGACTACGGAGACGTTAAACTAATGAATATCGATCGTTACTTACTCGAAGGACTCTCTACTACAGGCTCTTGGTGATCTGTACTCTCGATCTCCTGTCACATAATATATATAATGATTAATATCTAGTTAGTTGAACAATGAACAATCATAATAGTGAATCAAAGAAATGTACTTTCTAACTGCGCACAACAATCATCAGATGCAGTTTCAGAGAAAATTATAATCAACTGCATTTGAGGGATTATATACAGTTGACCACTTGATGACGCTAAAGCTCACATGTCTCGGTAAAAGTACAAACTATCAGAGTTTTTCTCGATAGTGAGTCTCACGTAAGTAAACTGATTTTTTAAACTAATTTTCTATCTGACAGCAGTTATCTGTATTAATATCCGTTTCACAATCTCACCTGATCATGGTCTGCGGCCTGGTATAGTCCGCGCCGGACGCGCGCCTGCAGCCCCTTAATCTCGTCATCGTACTCGCTCCACTCTGGCACTATACGCATTGCAGCCGACAACTTCGCTTCTTTCGTCATCGGGTTATTACACTGCGAAGTAAAGTAATTATGTAGGATACGTGTGCCTAGCAAAACGTCGTTTAAAATAAAGTGGGTGATGACATGTTATGAAAAAATTATAACGAAAAATTTTGAATTGTTCTGTATTAAAATAAGAAAAAGCTATTTAGATAAAAAAACCATCACGTCACTGAATATTCATGTACCGCCGTACATTTCTTTAATTCTTAGGCTGACTTACCAAATCGATGGTCTTGGCGTACGCCTTCGAGTCATTGTCACACCACGTCTCACACCACAACCACTCTTGAGGCAAAGACTTAATTGCTACTTGGTGAATCATATTGTTCGGCAAATCTTGATCTGTAAAAAAGTTTTACGAAGTACTAAACCACCCTATAAGGTACAGCCTTATATTTGTAAGAATAAAAACTAGGATATAATGATTTCGGCTATCGAAATTTTCTCAGAAGTATAATAATATGTAGAATTTCGAAAAAAGGCCAAAACATGGGATTTAAAACAGGGGAATTAGTTAAAGTAAATTAAAATATTTTCACAGTAAATAAGTGAACTGACCTAAGTTGGACAAGCTGTTGGGGTCCTGGCTGAGTGCCTGATACTGGCCACGCAGCCTGTCCCCGGCGGCGATGCGTCGGAACCGCTTCAGGTCCACCACGTACAGCGCACTGATGTGGTAGCTGCGCCCTTGTAAGTGGTTACGCCAGTATCCTTGCTTCCAGAATCTAAATGTTACCAACGACTGAGTTAAAAACCTTCCTGCTAAGTTATAATGAATATTTGCAAATAATCCTTTAGATTTAAATATTAAGATAATCATGTCCTTTTAAAATATGTTTGGTGAACAATCAGTTTTTCTCTTGTGTATATTATGTTTCAAATATTCTCACCTAAAACCTTCCATCTCCTTCCTGCTGTCACAGAATGGGGTGTATCCGTATGGTGCTCCACCCAAGTCCAATTCTACCAACTCTTTTAGATCCGCACGAACAATCTAGAAGAAAGTATTATTACTTAACCATGCATATCAAAATGTATCTAAGTGACTAGACAGAAAAAACACCAGAAAATGTAAAATTGTATAATTCAAGATCACGAGAAAAGGCTTAAGATTTTAACTGCTGGCAAAAAACGGTCGATTCTCCTGTATCGTGGCTCACATTAAAGCCTTCAAAAATACTCATATCTATTTATTTATGAAGGTAGACAATGGGGAGTTTACCTGATCGGCATCAACGAAGATGATCTTCTTGACATGCAACGGGAACAGGACGTCGAGGAAGAGGATCTTGTATCCCCAGATAGTGCGCTGTCGGTCGCGCTGTCGCTGTAGCCAGCGCGGCCACTGATACTGCACCAGCTCGTATTCGAACCCGTACTCTTGCGCCATGTATGGCAGGATGTCCTAAGAAATAGTTTAGTACTGTAGTGGGTTGGATATTAAACCTAATCTTCTTATCAAGTAAAACTGCAGTAAAACTAACGGTACTCAAATCGATTATTTTTTTAAATAGTTTTTAAACTTTAAATCAAAATCAAAGTTGAAAATAAAATAAAGTTTGATAGAATGCGTCTGTATGATGAAAGGAAGGAAATAGGAAAGTGTCGAAACTTTCTCTATTTCAATTTTAAAAATTGAATCTAAATATACTATGCTGTACCTACACAGATTAACATTAAACTTGACATACATTGGTCTTCAGAAAATATGTGACGTTCTTTTAGTTGCTTACCTTGAGTGAAGGACTGAGATAATTCTTCAGGAACCAGAATTTGACAGGCGATTTAGTGTGTTTGAGTACAGATAACATCATGATTCGTATAAACCGCTCGTATAAATGTCCTGACGCTACTGAGAACACGTTTATCGTCTCATCTTGGGCTTCTTGTTCCTCGCCGCCACCGAACGAACTATAAATAAACCAAAATAATAAGGTCAAAAAAAGGAAAACTCATTCATCTCCCTTAGGAGAGGCACTTATGCCTAGTGCCAATTAATTACGATAACTACAATTTTTATAGTGATTGTTATACACGATAGAATAGGTGAAAAAGCTCGCACTACGGATCTTTAGTCTGTATAAAATCAGACTTAATTTGAAATTTTATTTGACTAAAGATATTTGACATGGAACTCCAAACAACAGCTTATATTACAACCCATTTTAAACTTTATTTACCTAGCAATAGAGTTCCAGATGCCGCCAGAGTTCTTGTCATCGTTTTCGACGAGGAGGTCGAGGTGTTGTTTGTCGGGTTTCTTGCTGACTCTCAGTTTGATCACGTGACTACGGAACGAACTCATCAGCACTTGGATATCTTCGCTGTCCGCCGGAGTGTCGGTGTTCTCATGTCTACGATCACATATTATTTGTTACACAAAACTAAATTATACATAGGGAGCAATATGTTGTAAATGAAATGTTTATATACAGCATAACACAAAACCGATTTCGTAACCCTTAAAAAGTCGATATAGGTACTAACGATATATTATTAATTTATTATATACGAAGAATTTTCATTTAATGGCAACAAAAATATTTTTTTTAATTTTTTCGATCTGAGTTACCCAACAATCTCATAGATATCGTCAGAGCGTCCCGGTCGTAGTCTCAGGATCCAGGCGCCAGGGTTGGCTTTGAGCTGGAAGTAGCCGAGGTTAGCCATTACGATGGTGTCCATGAGTTCTGGTTTATCTCGAGTTCCCAACACTAGTTGCAGCCCTCGTGGCGGTGTGCCCAGAGCTGTATCCCACGCGTGACCTTCCAGGAGAAGGTACTCCAATTCAAATTCACTGTGGAAAAAATAAACCAATTTAATATTGCAATATTGCCTTCATCTAGTTGAAAATAAGGAGGTATGTCATCGAATGTCATTAAAATGATTTTGTTTTACTTAAGTTGAAATAATTACCTGTGCACGACAGTATCGACGTCAGCCAGTCGTATGTTATCGAGGTCGTAGACGGACTTGACACACTCGACGAGCCAGTTGGGCGGGGTGCGGAGTTCCATGGACAGTAGCGGCGCGTGAGGCAGCCGGGCGAACCGCGCCAGGGCACCGCCGGACAGCGCACCCGACGAAGTAAACTGAAGCTCTGGCTCCAAAACGTAGCGGTAGAAACTACACAATACAAGATTAGTAAAAAACCATACAGTAGCTGTTGCTTATCGTTCAATGCTGTTATTGGCTACGAGTCTCAGGCGTAGGTTGAAAGTGGTTGAGTTACTTCCAAAAATGTTGGTAATTCGCACACCATTATTAACGATTCATAAGAACTACTTTATGTATATGACATAATTTCAGCTGGAGGTAACCTGGCGTCGGCTGGCGTAGAAGTAAGGTCTTTAAAACAAAATGGTGCTATCACATTTAATTTTTTTTTTATATTATATAACATTCGTGACACATACTAAATCACTATAGAACTGAGAGTAAAATAACATTAAATAAATTATTAGTTTACCTCTTTAAAGGCATGTCGGAGTTCTTGTCCTGTGGATTGACGAACAACTTGATGCGGCAGTTGACGACACGACGTAGTACCAACAAAAGCGGTGCTAGGCGTTGGGCCGCAGTCGATGCCGGGTCCAATACCGCTACTATCTACGATTCAAAGATATTTTGTTTGTGCAAAGAACCGCCAAACTTATTCAAACAGAGTAATGTAAAGCTTTTGGAAGGTAAATAGATAAAGCTAATATAGTAAGTATGCCAAAATCGTCTCATTTGGCGATCCTTTGCCTCTATCTATCTACCCAAAGGGAGGTAGACGTGTCTATAATTATGTTTGTATTGCAAATAGCAATATTTTGAAATCAATATTTTTAATGGAAACGGGCAAACTGGTAAACGGGTCGCATGATAAGTTTTATTTATATAGCCACTGCTACTGCAGCTGCGAGCGTGACGCGTGCGTACCTCGACGGCGGCCTCGTGCTGGCGCAGCGGCGGCAGGTCGACGAGCGAGTGGTCCCCGCGCAGGCCGGCCGGCGCCGCCGTGCGCACGCGCGGGCTGCGCGCCGCCACCACGCACACCACCTTCAGGCGCTCGTCCGACGACAGCGAGCTCACGTCGAAGTCTACATCGGAAAACAGCCATTTATGTTCCCAACATTTATGAGCAGTTATTTATCTGTATGAGTCTATCCAACTATTGATTAAAAACAATAAGTTTGTATGAATTTGAACCTATCGGTTATTTATGATTGCACGTGAATTTGCAAGCCTCCGTAGGTTATAATTGATTATAAAAATAAAAACAAAAATTGTCCAAATTCTCACCATCATCATCATCTTCAAATATCTTGTCTAAATCTTTAACTTTTTTCTTACTGTCCAATACTTCGGATAACTTATCGGCGTACATTTGGTTGCTGTACCTATGAAATGGAATTATTGATCAGTAATTTAGTATTATTACGGTAAATCTGTTGTAAAAAACAATATCGTGTTTGTAAATTGTGGTATTAGAGGGTTAGGGGTCTGAGGATTTAAGGATTGCAGAGGGGGAGATTTGTTACCTCTCGAGCAGTGTAAAGTCGTCGAGCGTGAATTGTTCGTGTAGATGCAGCGGCCCGATGAGCCGCGCGTTGTACACGAGCGCGCGTTGACTCGCTCTCAACTTCAGACTGCGCGCGCACAGCACTCGCGACGCTTTCAGTACCCACTCGTATTTGTTCAGTGCCGGGACTATCTCAGGCTGTATCGATATTAGTTATAGTTAGTTATTTTTTCTTATACGTCTCCGAAATGGAAACCTACATATCCAACGTTAAAATATAACATAAAAATAAACTTGGCGCCAATGCCCCACCTTTTCTTTTTTAATTATGAAAATACTCACCAAGATATCACAAGTCTGTGTTTCATGACATCCTTCATCTTCTAACAGTTTCGACATGTACTTTGTGGCCTCAGCTGGCTCCAGCGTGGTTAACGCGGCCAGTGCTACTTTGTTCAGTGATTGGTCTACGCTAGAAGTACCGTCCACGTTGGGAATGAACGCCACACGCACACCACGGGATTCTTTCTATAACCAGAGTAAATAATATTTAGAAACAAATCACATATTCCTGTTTGGCTTTTAAATTACTAAAACAAAATAAATATAAATATATGTACAGTGGCCAGCAAGTCGACCTTTACTTTATTGATATAAAGTCGATATTGATGAAATAGGCCACTGTACAAACACAACGATGAAAAATGTTACATAGCATTTAATGAACAAAATAAAAGTAATTACCATGAATAACAAAGCATTCTTCAGCAGTTCCCTAGACTCCTTGTTGTTGAGGTCACCAGCTACCCATATAGTTTGCGATACTTTCTCAGGCTTTATAGATTTTGTGAAATATTTCAAAATTGGTAATGCTGTCGCTATGGCATCCCGTCCTAAAAAAAAGAAAATGATTATACATACATATGTAATTCTTTCTTTATGGTTTGGTTGTAATTTTACATTCATGAGATCATTGAAGTATTTGTTTAAAATATGCGTTTAACCTAACTATTTGTGTTTATTAATAATAATGCTTTATTCTTCTTCATAATTTACCTGTTAAGTGCAGAAGTTTGTGTATTTTATCCTCTGTGAACAAATCGTTGGAGGCGGCTACTCCCGACAGATCCAAGTACTGAGACGGTTCAGAGGCTAAAATACGACGGTTCAATCTGTCGAACAATAATATTAGTTACAGAATCGTTTCAAAACACTCGTGTGGTTTTTCATATTATAGTACGATAATGAATAATAGTACCAGTGTAGCATGTTTTCGAAGACAATTGTGCAAAAATAATGAGAAATCAAAGCAAACATGTATAATTTTCTGGCATAAACACATCTTGATACAGACTCATAATTATGTGCATAGTGTCATTTGTTAGCGTCAATAAAAACGCCTGATCTAGCAAAAGTGTCTTGTGTCTTCGAATATTTGCACATTTTTCTGATCCTAAATACCTCCAAAATTTCTTCGAGACGGTCTCAACATGCGACTTATACATCTCATATTGCGAATTTGATATCTGTGTTGAGTACTCCCGATAGCTGCATTGTATAAATAATTTTATTCCAAAACAAAGGAGTCATAAGAATTACCTCAAACTCACGAATTGCGTCAAAACACAAACTTTCAGTACATAAATAACTACCCAGTACAAATGAATCTTGAAAAAGTTAATATTATTTTTTAACTTTTCCTCGTTCCGATGGCTAAGTAATTAAATGCAAACATAAAAGACAGGAGAAATTCAATTGTGTCGGTACTTAATAATATTAATATTACATAACAATATGTAAATTTCACTCTATTTTCTTTTACTAACTAACCTAGGCATGATATGAGGTTGCTTCATAAGGTAGTTGATTGCATCATCAGAGTCTGAGAGTTCCCCGCGGAAGACGGCGCGCTGCAGCCGGCCCGTGTGTCGAGACAGGGCTGTCACCAACGCTTCCTCCAACAACTCCACTGATGTCGTCACGGGAGAGTTCCCTTCCTCAACTAGAGGTACGCCGTTTACTAACACCTATAGAGAGTTGTGTTTAAGTTAAGATATACGAGCGAGTTACACAGAAATAATATAGTATGTTTAATGTTTGTAGTGTTTATACTTTTTTCAATATTTCTAAGTTTTCGTTTTAAATTCTATGTTAAAAGAATAATAGTCATATGATATACCTGAGGATATTTGTTGGTGCCGATTTTCGATACAAACTCATCTGAAAGTTGTCTTCCGAAGTTGTACTCTGAATCTTCTGAGAGGATGTCGTTAATATTCGTGTTAAAATTAGTGTATTTGTTCAGCTGCTTCTTTACGAACTCTATAGACAACTTTTCTTCTTGAGGGGGATGTAACAGCTGAGAATAAGACATTCAGTTAAATTAATACATTAGAAAAAGACCATGTCAATACATCCTCAATCTAAGAGTATTCATAGAACACTTGTCAACAATGACGCTATCTATCTGTCATACGTTGGTGTGCATACAAGTCGTGAGCTCTTTACACAAGTTATATAAATAAATACGAGTATAAGAGATAAATCAGTAATCCACCAACATACCATGGTGTCAGAAGATCTAGTAATCGATTTATATAATTTACTTTGAATTTTGCAGACTTACCTGTGTAAGGAAATAATAAGCTTCCTTATTGGAGTTTCTCTCTTGCGCAACGTAGTTGAATGCGGATCTGACGGCGGCCTCTAGTTCTGGGTTGTCGGTACTAGGTGCCAACACGAGGCCCACGCGTACCGGAGTCGCGTGTTTCAGTAACGTCTCACCCAACTTCAGAGGCGGTCCAGAGGCTAGAGAAGTTGGGTCTACCACAATTACCTAAAGAAAAACGCAACATCGTATAGTACCACACCTTTTGAAATGTGAAATAAATTGATGTTAAGTATAATTTGTCTGATAAATATAATATTGTATCAATTTTACAACATAAAACTTACATAATTGTAAATATTTCTTCTCAAATTCCTCAGCATACCGGGGTAGGTGGGTCTAAGTAACTCCATGTAAGACGAGGGCCAGCGACGGTACCGTTCGTCAGTCTCCAAATCATTGAGCCACGTGATCGAAGTGTCGCGGATGTCCAGACCGTACTCCTCCCATGTATAAGCCTCAGCCAATTCCAGTGACATCAATTTGTTGATCAACTTTTTAGACAAACCTAAAAAACAATTTGATTGATAGATCCATTAACAAAGAAAAAGAAATTGCAGCCCGCAAACGGCTCGCCCGCCGAGCCGCGCGAGTGCTGCCACGGCAATGGTTTAGTGCTCAACTTACATAAGATAACATAACATCACGCCTTTTAGCCCCGGGGGGGTAGGTAGAGGTGCACATTACGGCAAATAATGCCACTGTACAATGTAACACCCACTTTTCAGTAGGAGGTGAGCCTATTGTCATATACCGGGCGCATTTCCAGACTCCGAGCTACTACTGAGATTTTTTTCAAAACCCAGTAATACTTTGCCCGACCCGGGAATCGAACCCGAGATAATAACTTTAGTCGCGGGCAGTCTGCGGAGCATTCGCCAGATGAATTTGATGAGCCCTAAGAATTTTACAAATTGAACACTAAAAGTTCATTTTGAAAATTATAATCGTAGTCAAGAACTCCATGGAATGGATTAATCCTCAAATACACGAGCTTACCAAGAGCATGTAAAGTATTCATAGGTCCAATATCTTCCTTGAGAGCGGCTAAGAGAGCCATCACGTCGACCTCCTCAGCGTCGTACTGAGCCCCAGACACGAGCAACAGAGGTTCCGCTGGCCGGAGCCCCAGGGATGACGCCCATATGTCTTGGTTGTACAATACTTCTTCACGGAAAGCACGAGGGACATTTACGTGTATTAATGATTTAGTCTGAAACAAAAAACTTATGATTCTCATTTCCTGCTTTGGAGTTATTTAAAAAATAGTTTAATAATATTAATGTTGTTTCAGCTTGTCTGTTGCTGGATTTCTATTTTCATATAAAATATGTTTGATTACCTGCATGGGGAAGTTTTGTGCAATAGAAGTCAACACTTTGAGCGACTCGTCACCTCCCGCGTCATTGGCATCCACAACGGCCACTGCAGCTTGCATACTCAATGCTTGCATCTGCCATACTTTCAAAGGAGCCAGCTCCTCATTAGATTCGGACAAGTGACGACGGAACCGCTCCAGTGGCGAACGTAAACCGGGGAACAAATTCCTGTATTGAATTAAAATACTTAAACAAGGAAAGTTTAGGTTCAATAACATGTTTATAAGATTGGAATAGGTTAGCACAATGGGATCTTACAAATTCTTGGCACCAAAATATGGACTTGGGATATTGGCCTTTTTTTGACGGGGAAAAATCATCCAATGACTTTTCCCGCCTTGGGTGAGGCGAGAGAGTGTCACTCTTACTGACTAAAAACCACCTGGTTCCTACTCCTGCTCTTTGAGTTTAAGTTTACCAATAGACTTACATATCAGAATGAGATTAATGATTGGCGAAAATGGTATGGACCATTATTCACAGATTTGATACCCTTTAGCGAAATAAATTTCCTACTTTAAATTAAAAATTATATTTAGCCTCACTTGAGTCGTCCAAAATTAAATCCATCAATTTGATTCTGAGGGTCATTCTCATCTTCTTCCTCAGAGGGTGGAGTACCTGAGTCTCCATCTTCAGACTCCTTGGGTGTTGAATCATCCTGACTTTTGTACTCAGTACTCTTCAGTTGCAACTCAACACCATAACCTGATAGACGTAACTTAGGCTTACCCCGCGGCTGTAAGAAATTATCATGGATAAAATTAGGTAATTTAGATAATATATTGAATTACATAAATTATTAATATGCTGTGGTGGTTCCAGTTAATGTAATTATTTTTAACCAGTGCAACTGTTAATTTAAATAAATAAATTAAGCGGTCACCAGTGAACACTCTCCTCTTACTACATTATAGACCTTATTCCCAATGTTTAGAGACTACTTTTGTATGAACAAATGACAATGACCAAATTTGTATGAAGCGTGGTGCCTTTTCATTTTTTCGCGGCAGTTGACCGAATGTGGAAAAACTGATGCAGAATAACATTACAAACAAAAAAATATATGGGGTCTTATATCAAAAACTCAGTCCGAACCGAGTTAAATCAGTTCAAAGTTGTGAAAATACTGCTATATTATACCTGTCATTTTGTTGATGGTGACCGTACACAATGCATATTTCTTCATTTACTTGTCAGAAATATTTTGTAATAAATGATTATAAACGATTTCAAGGAATAAAATAAAGCTTATTGTGGACTTTTTTACTTAATATATTTTTTTTATTTTTTTTTGTTAAAAGGCTATGGAATCAGAACAGAGTGAACCATTAACTGGCCACTGCTGAAGTAAAAAAAATCATTTCACTTGATTGGCCAGCGTGTTCACTTTATATGTATACGGTTTATGGCCTATGACACATTTTCATGATCAATTTCCTCTCAGTCGAAAACCCGCAAAATACTTTACTGAGCCCTATCATGGAATGCTATGTTTGTCAGCTGCGCCGTCGGTAGCAGATTGAGTAGCGGCAGAAAAATGAATTTTTTGTCAAAACACGAAAAATTCATTTTTCTGTCTACTTCTCCCGACTTACTTTCGATTAGTAACTAATCTAACTATAGTGAATACTTAATCTACATCTAGCATAAGATTTGTTCAAAGATATCGTCATTCAGTCACAAAGTGATTGATTATATTATTTCGGGTGATCACATTATATGAAAAAATTATGCGCTCATCTCACGTATAGTCCATCACTTTACAAAGTCGACGGTTTTCTTTCTTCAAAAGATTATGCTAACTATAAAGTAAGTCTCCCACTAGGCGTCAACGACAAGACAGTAATACTTTATTAGATGTTTGGATGGCTACCACTACTCAACCCACCACTGGTACCACAGCTGACATTCATGAAGCTTCATGTCACAACTCCTAGAAGCATCCCACAAGTTATTGACTGAGAGAAAATAGCTAATAAAAATTAGTGCCTGGCAATATGGATATATTGTGGTGAGATATGGTGTTCTTATGCCCAGCGTACAGTGGTGAGTAATTTGAAGTTAGGAATTGTGACAAAAATATGAATAATTTGAATAAAAAAACCAAAGTAAAATGTTTGACTCCAGCTCCTTTCAACGCTCATAACTCAGTCCAGACTGAGATTTCCATATATGAGCCCATAGACAATTTGGTCTGTAATGTCATTCTAGATAATATTTTCCATAAATCATCGACTGCCGCCAGAAAAAAGAAAGGCACCAATTTTAGTCAATGCCCAAAGGGCATTGACTAAAATTGGCCCAAATCATCCCCTAAAAGGGGATGATTTTCAACAATTTTCAACGGGTTAATCTGTTGTAACTACAAAATAGACTTACCTTAACATTCCATCTCACAACATAGTTGATAGCTCCAGAATCTGCATATGTGGACAGTATTTTATGTTTTGTTGTAAAATCTTTCATTCCTAGCTCTCCATACAAGATGGCAGTTAGACTTTTGTTGTCACTACTAGGATATGAATGGTCCAGTAAATAGGTCTCTTGCTTGTGTTCTTCCTAAAATTACAAATATTTTACATATTTACATCTTACCCTGTATATTCAAGATTTTTAACCTCATTAACTTATTATGTTTTTTTATAATGTTACATAATCCGTGCCCTTGTCATACAACTTGTTATTACAATATGTCTAATCATTATTTGCTACTACTTGTGGTACGCTAACAATCATTTATTTTATGTTTCTTCATTGCTGTGCTCACAACAACCACATTCGCACACGAAAGTCGCTGTGCCTCGTGTATTGTGAGCACGCGTGATCCCACGGTCGACCCGTATCCCTCATTCTTAAGGGATTTCTTTTCTGCCTGAATGTGTACTAGGTATAAAGTGTCGGGAAGTGATTTTTGAATCATTGATGATGATGATAATTTATTATATTAATCTATACATATAATAAAATCGTAGAAAAGTCAAAACTGTACATTGAATATTTTTTAAAAAGAATACTTGGGGCGTGATCTACAGTCTATACTGAAGCCAAAAATATGCTTTTTAAATTTTTTGTCTGTTTGTCTGCTTTTCTGTATGTATGTCCGGGATGATCTCAAAAAGTACTGCATGGATTTACTTCAAATTTTGTATGATTATTACTAACGGGTTGGGTGAACATAAAAGCTACATATTAGCATACCACCTATGAGGTAAGTAAATCACTATTCACGCAAACGAAGTCGTGGGCACACCTAGTAACTACTAAAGTCAATGAGTGTAAATTACAAGGGTTAAATAAAATGAAATTATTTCACTGATAGAATACTAACTTTTCAGTTTTAAAATATTGAAACTAAGTCAAAATGAAACATTCAACATAAATTTATTATGTGGATTTTAGAAGTGACTTAAATAATAAACCTAATAAAAAGTTTTATGACTTGAATAACACCGGCTGGTCGTGCTACACTATGTATGTTATTGTTTCCAGTCCAATGGAACTACTCAAGGTCTTACAAGTGTTGAACACATTTATGTGAACTTTACCAATTGAGTAGTTTGTATGAACTAATTTAGGAATATAGTTGTTTAGATTACCTTACTTTAAGACATACAATTATAAATATAAAATGTTAAGCTGCACTAGACACAGTAATTAAGAATAATAAGTACTTATAGTTAGCATTTCAAGGTTTAAGCATTTAAGCATTTCTATTATTAAAACAATTATTGATTTTTTGTAACTTTGGTATAGACCAGTACAATGTAAAGGTGACTTTGTGTTTTGTAACAAGATTACCTGAAACCATACTACTAATAACTCTAATAACATACTATTAATGAAATAATAAAAGTAACAGGATTTAAAAAGATATGAATAAAGTAACTTACCACATCATACTGGTTGTATGACTTCAGAATATCTCTTAGAGCATCATTGTCACAAATTTTCCTTGAAGCTATTGATACAAATGCATCACATGTAACATCCTTAGCTCCGGTTTGTGTAGCAATTTGATCAAACATTCGAACTGTAGGGGATGTGAGATGCATGGAAAGAGCCAGTTTAGCCATCCGCAGCTGTGCAGGGGCCAACAAAGTGCTAGCAACTCCAATACAGGCATCATACACTTGTTTATCAGTCTCTACAAATAATTTAATATTACAAATTTAGACAAGTGTCACAACTTTATATTGAGTATTTTAATATGGATTAACTATACAACAATATAGTAGTGTCACCAGTGTCACCTTAGTCACTTAGTTGTACTCTAACATATTTTGTTGTTGAAATAAATTATTTAATGTAGGTAATTCATTATTACAGATTCATAGACTATTTAACATTTAACAAAATGTAAGTCAACAATTTGTTATCCTTTATTATAATTTAATGTGTTTAGCTATTTCAAAGTACAAGAAGTTCAAGCAATTAAATTGAAACAATCATAAACAGTTTCATTAAAAATGGAAACAAATGGTAATATCAAGAACATTACACTGCTACCTGACTTACCAAGAGAATCAAGACTAGATTTTAACGAATTTATTCCATCAAAGAAAGACCAAAATAAATCCGTGCTTTCGCCAGCGAGGTATTCGGCAAGTTCCAGTGCAATAGGTGTAGCTTCCCATTTTGCACTGACAAACGTGGTAACAGATTTCGACTTCTTTTCATAAGGCTTGGCAGTATCCTCACTTGAAACCAAACTAATTAGAACGTAAGCTACAATAACTAAAGAAATTCTTAAGCCGGTGGCTCTCATTGTGCACAAGTTTTATGTACTTCTACTAAAATGTATTTTAAATAATTTATCTAAGAGTGCCACATTTACAAAACACTTTACGAGTGGTCATACTTTTCAGGTTTCTTAATAATATATGAATAAATATGAAAACTTCATAGATTTCGTATAATAATTCTCATCCTCAAATGAGACAACACAACCACCAATGACAGTTAGACACGGCGTATAGTGTTGTCCTTATTCCGTTGTCCGAAATTCTCTTTTTTTTTATAGTTGCCATTGTTTTACTTGTTAGTTGTTACTTAAATAGTATTTGTGCTACAATTTGTGCTTTGTGGTCCAATAGCTCCATATCAGTGAATAGCTTTCAAACAATAACGAGCCATCGAAATCATAAAACTGTATCTATTTTTTTTTAAATATATTTTTGTTTAATATTTTTGTTTACTTTCCTTGATGAAAAAATAATAATATTTAGGTATCTATTGACCCTACGTAAGTATGAAATTTATTGCTTTGAATAAATATTATTGTTTTTGTTTTTTTTTTAATTTATTCCGGTGTACGTCCAGTATACCTACGTATCGGTTAATCGGTTATCTGTAATGCTCGAGCCACAGCAACGAAAAATGCCATTGCTTATGGCATTTTTCGTTGCTGTGGCCGGTCACCATAGGTGTAGCCACGAGTCAATTTGAATTTTACAATGGCATTATCAATGCCGTTTGGCGTTTGGCGATAGCTCAGGTGGCGGTACATCAAAGAGATGAACGCGATAATTGTCGCGATGAAGTGGCCACACTACGTACCTAATTTGATACTTTATAATAATTTGTTTGTTTGTTACGTCTTCACGTCTGGTTACTCCAGGTATGACATACTAATTTTTGGGTTGTTATACTGATATTTTTTAAATTTGCCGGCTTTTTCAGTCTCTACTTTCGTTTGCCAGACACTATCACTATGTATTAAAAAAAGGAAAACAAGAAAGTGGACTAGACTAGAGTATGGCTAAAATTAAGAGATAAATATATCCACGAAAAATTGCTACGATATTGCTCTCAGAACCAGATGAATAAATTAATAAATAACCATCTTCAATAAATTTGTCATTTTTTATTGCAGCGCTTCCCTAATTTTAATCATGTAATCCTTAGATTTTATTTTCGACAAAACTTGGTAAATTGGTAAATTAATATAAAATTTAGCGTAAATTCTTTATCTAACACTAGCTGTTGCCCGCGACTTCGTCCGCGTAGATTAATGACTTCTGACAGAATTAATCAGAATCAATTCAGTGCCCAAGTAAGATTTACCTATTTTGAAATGATTTATCGTAGTTTTAATAAATAAATAATCCCGCAGGGATCTTACCTAATATAAATACTTAATAAAAACTATTCTATCGACTATTGTTGTACCGAATCTCTCTAAAATAAGTTCAGTGGTTAAGAGTTAGAGAGTCCTGGGGCATTGACGCATAGTTCCCGTTCCCGTGGGACATCTGTGATAAAAACTATCAAACGTTACCCAGGTCCCAAATCATCGTTTTACCGAATGTAATTCAAAAAGATTCAATGATTCTTAATTCAATGGCTAAGAAGATTTATACAAACTCTCATTCCCTATTTTATCCCCTTAGGGGTGGAATTTATCAAAATCCTTTCTAAGGAGATACCTACGTCATAGTAACTTTATGCATGCAAAGTCTGAGCCCGCTCAATTTAAAACTGGCAAACTATCATACTTTCATCCCCTATTTTACCCCCTTGGGGGTCGAAATTATCAAAATCCTTTCTAAAGGGACGTTTACGTCGTAATATCCATCTGCACGCCGAATTTCAACCCGATCGGTGTAAAACTGACAAAGCTTCATACAAACGTTCATCCCCTACATTACCCCATTGGAGGTGGAAATAATCAAAATCCTTACTTGGGGATGCCTACGTCATAACATCTACCTGCATGCCGAATTTCATCTGCATCGGTGTAAAACTGACAAAGCTTCATACAAACTTTCACCCCCTATTTTACCCCCTTAGGGGTGGAAATGATCAAAATCCTTTCTTAGCGGATGCTTATGTCATAACATCTATCTGCATGCCAAATTTCAACCCGATCGGTTTAAAACTGACAAAGTCTCATACAAAATTTCATCCCCTTATCAAAATCCTTTCACAGCAGATGCCTACGTCATAACATCTATCTGCATGCCAAATTTCAACTCGATCGGTTTAAAACTGACAAAGTCTCATACAAACTTTCATCCCCTATTTTACCCACTTGGGGGTGGAAATTATCAAAATCCTTTCACAGCGGATGCCTACGTCATAACATCTATCTGCATGCCAAATTTCAACCCGATCGATTTAAAACTGACAATGTCTCATACAAACTTTCATCCCCTATTTTACCCACTTGGGGGTGGAAATTATCAAAATCCTTTCACAGCGGATGCCTACGTCATAACATCTATCTGCATGCCAAATTTCAACCCGATCGATTTTAAACTGACAATGTCTCATACAAACTTTCATCCCCTATTTTACCCCCTTGGAGGTGGAAATTATCAAAATCCTTTCAAAGCGGATGCTTACGTCATAACATCTATCTGCATGCCAAATTTCAACCCGATCGGTTTAAAACTGACAAAGCCTCATACAAACTTTCATCCCCCTTTTTACCCCCTTGGGGGTGACAATTATCAAAATCCTTTCTTAGCGGATGCCTACGTCATAACATCTATCTGTATGCCAAATTTTAGCCCAATCTGTCCAGCGGTTTGGGCTGTGCGTTGATAGATCACTATGTCAGTCAGTCAGTCAGTCAATCACCCTTGAATTATATATATATAGAAGATAGAAGATTTTGTCCATGCTGCCGAGATTTGTGATGCTGCCTTTCGAACTAGAACTATCAGCTACGTCCTCCATGGTGACAGATCAACGAATGAGATCTTGTTTGACAAACACATCGTCACACGTTCAAACACGTTTGTCAAACGCTAGGTCAATCAAAATTCTCTTCAAGAAGTTCAAACACGTAAAATTTGTCAAACAATTTGATCGTTTATAGGGCGCTTTTATTTTTATTTATTATTATTTTTTTTTTATTTATTTATTCATGAACAATTATTACATTGTGTTTGAATTTGTACAATACACCTATATTCTAAAAATTATACATGCAATAATTAGCCGTTACAATTAATAAAGTTAAATGTCATTCCCTGTACTTGTCAATTCATAATTAATTATAACAAGATAAAAACAATAATACACAAAATATAATAAAATATAGTCATGTCATCCATAAAATACCAAAAAAAAAAAAACACACAACAACAATTCCAATAAATTAAGTTATAATTCGTCAACATGATAAAGACACTTATTTAACAAGAACTGTCTAAGCTTATTCCGAAACTCGCCTTTATAAATAAGACCTTTTATTTCCGTTGGCAGTTTATTAAACAGCTTTAACGACTTGTGGTAGGAACTATGCTTTGCAACGTTTAGGTGAGTCACTTGCTTCAACTGAAGATCTTTCCTTCTTGTGCTCTCCCTTCTTTGTCTTTCATCCTCAGTCTCATATCCTTTATACTCTTTGGTAATAAGTAATAAGTATAGGGGAATTGTCAGTTTCCGTTACCCCTATACTTATTATACTCTTTGGTTTCCGTCCAGAGCGCGTCGGAAGCGGACATGTGTTTTTGATTTGCAAAATACGTATACAATGACGACGGAGTGGAGTAATGAAAAAGTAATCACTTTAATCAAGATTCTGCAAACAGAACCATGTTTGCGGGATTCAAAATTAAATATAAATTTACATTCATGAAAAATAGAGCTCTGTAGTCGTCCATATTGATTGAAGTAAATTCAACGCCGTTTGTATTGCCAACAATGAGCATTCACGTTGACCGTTGAAGTGTAGCCACCCACTTTGATGCCGTTAAAATTATTGCGATAATTATCACGATAATGGACATTCACGTTCAACGTTAGTGAGGCCCCAGCATAAGTGATACCCACACCCACAGAATTACAATAGATAAGCAGACCGAATATAAATTCCGAGCTATGCGTATATATAGTGGAACACACTGTAGCGGAATGCCCTGCGTGGGCTGAGCACCGCCGTGCCCTCAGGAAAGTGATTGACGATGGCGACCTCTTGCGTCCGGGCCTAGTGTAGCCCATGATGCGGAGCGAGGGGGACTGGGATGCCGTCTCCTCCTTTTGCGAAGCAGTCATGCTAGCTAAGGAGGAGGCGGGAAGCGTAAGGCAGCAAAGCGCTGCCTCCTCGCAACCCAGCCATCGCGAAGGACACACCGGGCGTCGGGAATCGCGGGACGATCTCCGGCCACCGTAAGCGCGGGCCTGCGGACGGCGAGCATGGGTAGCTCCCCGTCTGACCAGAAACAGACCCGACCGTACGGCGCGTCGCGTTCCGAGCGCACCTCAAAGACCCATCAGACCACCACAGATGACCAACAGGGCCGATGCCAATTCGGAGTCGCGGAGAACCTAACGGGTAACCGGGGCTCCGGCTCGACGTGCAGAAGAAGGAACGGGATGGTTCTTAGTCAGTAAGAGTCTGACTCTCCCTCCCGCCTCACCCAGGTGGGAGCAGCAATTCGATGATTTTCCCAACTTAAAAAAAAATTGCGTACATAGGTATATGATCTTTGTCCTTTTACCTGTAGCCACACTTCTCTATACATAGACACATTTTGACGTGAAACCAGTTTTTCCGTGCCGCCATATTGATAAGCTTTAACCTACAACTAGGTCAATCTCCTATGTATACCTACTATGTATATATTTTATCACATTTGCCTATTATTATCAAAGAATATCATCATATACCTGAAATGCTTAGGAATGTACAAAAAAAAATTAACATGGCGCTCGCTCGGACAGGTTACGGAAAGAACATGTCTTGGGAGTGGTCAGTGGTATTGAATTGAGAGGCTATAACAAGTGCTTTAATAAAAATTATTGTTCTCCCTTTATTGTGTTGTTTTATTTGAAAAAGCAAAGCATATCTTTTAAACATTGTTTTTATAAAAGCGTGAGCTGTGCGACATTGCCGCGACCGCGCACGCTGCTCATCAGGAAGAACCCCTCTGTGAATCGAAACTAATATAGCTTTTCTCAGTACATTCACATGAGTAACCCGCGATTTTTGTTAACTTTTATACATTTTATATACCTACTAGCGGACCCAACAGACGTTGTCCTACATATCCACTTGAATGTATAAACAAAAATGCATTCAAATTAGTTCAGCTGTTTAGGATAAATAACCTAAACATCGACTGCAGCGCCATCTGCCGGGCTGATTTGTTTGAAAAATTTTATCAAAATCGGTCCAGTCGTTTGAGAGAAGTTCAGTGACACACACACTCACAGAAATTATTATTATTATATTATATAATTTAATACGTTATTTCTAATGTAAACAATCTAGTTTCCTTATGGCATCGAGCATTTTTTCTTTATAGAAGAATACTGACAAACCATAGAAAAGTGCTTCTATACAAGAATAAGAATTTCCTTTTTCTTGTATAGAAGCCATATTTCTATGGATTGTCAGTATGCAGAGCACCGTGTTAGATTTTTATTTTTTTTATTTTAGTAAGTTATTAGTACAATGCGTCAAGCGTGTCTTTGCATTATCCTTACATTTCAATACGTACAGTATTGAAATATGTTTCAGAGACATTGTAGAACATACTTTTTTGAAAAGGGTAACGAATGGAGTTTCTTGCTCGTTCTTCTCCATTCGAATCTACATTTTGGAATGAGCACCTAGCTTCACCTAGTTTCACTGACGGACTGACTGACAGACTATTATTTATTTTGTATTTGTTGACGTTCCAAAAGTACCAAACCTTGGTTTAATTGAAATAAATGCTTTGACTTTATTTCATATATTAGGTATTATTTATACGTATTCATATTTTTTAAACTACATTTTGTAAAGTTCCTAAATACATAGTTTCGGAATTATATAAAGATAGGATTTTCATAAATTTTCGGTAATATATAATATATACACAAGAATTATAGTGAAAATTGTTTTTTTTATTGACAACGCTTGCGTAATGTAATGACTATTTAATGCCGAAGGCCCACTGAATATTATTATTGTATCTGTGCGGAAACCCAATACTCCCCACCACTCCATCTTCAATCCCCAACTCTTTCTTACTGATCAATCCTTTTCAAAATTTCCAATCCCAGAATGTTGACAATTCCCTTTTTGGGGCGTTTTTTTTTGGGATAAATTAACATAACATAACATAACATTACGCCTTTTATCCCCGAAGAGGTAGGCAGAGGTGCACATTATGCCACTGTACAATGTCACACATACTTTTCACTATTTATGTTATGAGTCCCATGTAATAGGGGGTGAGCCTATTGCCATATACCGGGCACAATGTCAGACTCCGTGCTACTACTGAGATTTTTTTTTAAACTCAGTGATACTTTGCCCGACCTGGGAATCGAACCCGAGACCCCTTGCCCGGCAGTCGCACTTGCGACCACTCGGCCAACGAGGCAGTCCTAGTGGGATAAATTACTCAAAATTTTTACTTTATCCATTCACACATTCATACTTCTGTTTTACTAGAGTATTTATCCGAAAAAGTGATCCTCTCTCAGAAGGCCTCTGGAAGTTGCCTGGGTGTCTTCCATCGGTGTCACTGATTAGTGATTATAAACCTGATTTGCCTTATACCATCCAGTATCCAGGGTAGGTGATCCCCTCAGTGATCCTATTTAATATCTATGGGTGATCTAGTGGTCTACTCGTTTAACAAAGGTTCACGAACAACATAGTACAACCAATGACTAATTTATGTCTTATTAAAACGTTTTCTAAACCATGAGCAAAGAAAATAGTAAGCTTTGGTCTTCATGGCAAACATTTTATGTCAAAATGTCAGTTCAGTCACTTGTCGTCACTCAGTCACTCGTCAATGGTTTAACTGTCATTGTCAAAGTTGTCGAATTCCGATTAGCGACTGCCTGAGTAATAAATTTCGATTGTCTTATTATTTTACTTTAAATACCCAGATGGAATAAACTGTTTGAAATTAAATAAAAAACAGTAAGTATATCAGCTTTATAGTATATTATACATCTTTAAACACATTTAAATTTCGCCCACTTATTACTAATTCAATCTTTAAAATATACGATGCTCGTTAGGAAATGTACTTTGATAAAAGGTTTATTTTATTTTGGAAAAAGGCATATTATTTGAATGTCTTCTTTTCTTTTTTGAGTTATCTTATTCGATCACAGAATATTGACAATTCCATAAATTTTTATTACAGACAAAAATTTTCCTTTTTAATTACTTTTTTCCTATCAGGCTTATACCGCCACGATGCAGTACACATCTGACGAAGCCTATGCACGGCTTATCAGCCACCATATGACTGTGCCGCAAAGAATTAAGGTAACTGCTAATAATTTCCTTAGTTTTAGTAGAATAAAATGTACTTATCAAAACTTTTAACCTGTTATTGTACTATTCACTTAAAATGGTGCATTAATCATAATAAAAACAATTACAATTGTAAGAAAACAACCCTTAAATTAAGTAAGTATATTTTGTAACATTCTAATTTATATATTTGTATAAATTTAACATTATGTGTTTTAGGCTACTGGTGACATAGTAGATGAAGATAGTGCTCCTAATGGAATAGTGTCGGGCTGGGACTATGCAAATGAAAAGTTTGACATGAAAGTACCAGAAAGGATACTTGTAGTGGGACAGGATCAACATGTTGGTATGTTTTGTTTGAACATTCTCTGTTTCACTTTGTTTATTACAGAATCTAGACTTGATATTTTGATGCCAGAATCGTCTCTTGCATTATTTAAATACTAAGTAATAAGAATAATATAATATTGAATACTAATTAAATATTATGATAGTTCTATTTCAAGAATTTATCACTGAATATTATGGCTATATAATTAATATTAATATATGGTTGTGGTGGCCTGGAGGTTTAAGACGCCCGCTTCTCATGCATGAGGGTGCGGGTTCGAAACCTACCAACGGCAAATACCAATGTGACTTTTTCAGAGTTTTATATAATTTCTAAGATTATCTGGACACCACTGACAAACGGTGAAGAAAAACATCGTGAGGAAACCTGGACTTATAATTTATAATTATAATTATGTTTGTAAACGCCAACCCGCATTGAGCAAGCACGGTGATTGATGCTCAAACCTTCTCTGTGCGAAAAGAGGCCTTTGGTCAGCAGTGGCCATTTATTATTTTTATTTATTTAATTCAGACAGGCAGTTGAAACAACTGATAAATGCCTGTATCGTATTTTTCTATCAGTGGTTAATTCAATGTTGTGTATCTGTCAAGTCTGTTTTTGAACTGGTTAACATGCTGTGCAGCGATTACATATTCTGGCAGCCTGTTCCATATGTGCATATTTCCATGTTTTTTTAAACCAAATATCTTTTCTTTTACTCTATGTATCGAAACTTCGAAAGTACTACTTGTTGCAAGTTGTTTTGCCGCGAGACGAAAACGCAATAGATTTCAAGGTGTGCACCAAAATAACACTTCTTTAAAAATGTTGTATGTCTTTCTGTTTGTACTGGCTAATCTTTGAAATGGCTGGACCGATCTGACGAGAATTTTATTAGACGGTACTAAGGGTTGATTTACTAAGTAGTAAATTAGGTTACTTTTATTTTAGAAATACGCAGACGAAGTTAGGTGTACAACTACTTAAAAATCTAATGCTTATGAACTCAATATAAAGTTGTCACACTTATTTAACTTAAACTGAAAATATCCATAGAATTTTTTAATGACCAAGTTATGAAAAGATATCGGGTATATGCCAAAAACATTTAAATATTTTATTACTGGCTTGTAATGTTGTGGGACAACTTGTACTGTATTAAAATAAGCTAATAAGGTCATCAAGATGTGCAATTACAATATGTGTGATGAATAATCTTATACTATCTTATCTTGTACTTATTATACTATTATATAAAGCTGAAGAGTTTGTTTTTTTATTTGTTTGTTTGAACGCGCTAATCTCCGTAACTACAAGTCTGATTTGAATAATTCTTTTTGTGTTGGATAGCTCATTTATCGACGATGGCTATAGGCTATAAAACATCACGCTACGACCAATAGGAGCTAAGCAGAGCGTGTGAAACCGCGCGGAAGTAGCTAGTTACATATAATTATGTGATAATGCACATCATCATCATCCTATAAATGCCCACTGCTGAGCAAAGCCTCTTCTCGCATGGAAAAGATAATCACTATGCTTGCTCAATGTGGGAAGGCGATTTCAAAGTTATAATTAGATATTGTAAACCCAGGTTTCGCAGGAAAAACAAGTGCAATCTTTGCATTAATGGTCTTCAAGTATATTTCAATTTTTGTTTAATGATTATTATGGAAAAGATCTCAGAAAAATTTATTAGTTTTTGATCATTAAAAATATAATTAAGTATGTATGTCTTTTAGTTAACATCTTTCTTTTTTACTGCTGTAGCTTTCCCAAGCTTTTGCAACTTCACTATAAAAGCTACGCGACGCCACTGGATAGGCTTCGCGACGCCCCGGGGGTCGCGATCCACAGGTTGAAAAACCATGTTCTAAATTAATTGTACTAGTAATTAGTTTTGTTCAATGAGAACTTGTTTAAATATTCATGCAGTTTGTAACAGAAAATTAACAGTCTCCTAATATCTTGGGAGTGTCACGGAGAACCTAACGGGTAACCGGGGCTCCGGCTCGACGTGCAGGAGAAGGAACGGGGTGGTTTTTAGTCAGTAAGAGCCTGACACTCCCTCTCGCCACACCCAGGCGGGAGAAGTCATTCCATGATTTTCCCCCTTAAAAAAAAAAATATCTTGGGAGTGTCTGAATTTTTATTTTATGTATATTATTAAAATTTTTACAGGGACAAAAGCTCCACCTCGTGAAATCCAGTTGGATAATGCAGTGCTACCAACAGACCCAGGTATGATTCGGGTCAGCACACCACCACGTGTAATTACACTTGACCAACATTACTTTCCGTCTGCTGATGACTTTCCTCAAGGCATGCCAACCAACTCTCCTCCAAGGAATTCAAGAAACTTCAGGTCTCAAGGTGATGGGGCACGTTCTACTACTCCCCGTCCTGATAATTTCAATGAGTCCACTATGACTGAGTCACGTTTGGTATTGAGGTAAGAAAGAGCGTTTATATCTGCTGTATAGTTCTTATTAGGTTTGCCATTCTACTAACTTCATCTACATGTTTGGTGTGAAAAATGATTATGGTTCATTTTTCAGAGACCCAACGCCACCAATGGGAAATGGTGAAGGTTTGTCTACTTCTGAGGAGTTGGTACATCTACGGCGTCAAATCGTCAAACTTAATCGTCGTGTAATGTCAATAGAGGCAGAGCAACTTCAGCGGCAACAGAAAGAAAAAATTGCATATGCTTTTGGTATAGCATACTTGTTATTCAAAGTTATTGCTTGGCTGAATAGATCCTAAGCGACATTAGGAGCAGCATCATTAAAATGTAAGATGAAGTCCTACCCATGTACTGTTTGTTGACTTTATGAATTTTGAATCACTGGATTGTTGTTTTAAGAGGCATTTTCTGTAGAATGTCATTTTCTGGTGTAGTAAAGGTGGAAGTGTTATAGTTCATCAAAGATTATTATTTCTTAGCATTTAGGAAACACTTTTTTTATATGATATGTTGTCAGTTGTACAATACTGCAACTTTTACAGTGAATACTTACACAATATTGATAACTTTTCTTGCATTCATCTACTTTTAATGAATTGTTGAGAAGTTTCATGACCCTCCCTTTAGTGTATAGATGTATGAACTGGGTCATTTTATTTGAATAAAACAATGTAAGTTATAATATTATGGTTTGGAATTTACAAAATCCCTAGTTAAGTACCTAATTCTTAGTATCTAACATTTGTTTGTCGCTACCGCTGATCAATTTTTTTTAATAACGTACTATATGTTACCTAGTAATAGTGTATCAGTAGATATTGCTAGAACACCGAGGTATTGTTGTCATACTTTAAAATTATTAGGGTCTAGAAAAATAAAAAATCGTACTTCAAGATAACACTCAATATATTCCGAAAATTACTATAAGAACATCAACACAAGAAGATTGGGCATTCTAAAAATATGAATGCACAATTTATGGAGACATCATTATATAGAATGGTGTCAAAAGATCAATGGCTTAAATTCTAAATGTAAATGAATACTGGGGACAGTCACAATTAAAATCAATTGTAATCAGTATTGTTTATATTTTACTCTGTTTTTCTTCATAAATAAAGATTACAGAAAAAAGTGGACCACCAAGTCTCTGAGCTAACCATGTATTCTTTACTACTGCTATTTTTAATGAATCTACAGCAAGGCGAGCATTTAAATTTGTATGAAGGGCCCTGCCCATTCCTTCTAAAATGATTAAGTCCACTCCACGAGCTTTCATTTCAGTGCATAATCCTGTAAATAAAAATATGTTACAACTTAAAAATTCTTTTTTGTTGTATTGATTTGAATTTGAAGTTCATCAACTTACCTACACTAATTGTCCTAAGGTCCAAACATGGACCTCTTTGTCCACTTGATCTTACTACTAAATCTCCTGTGGATAGGGCAGCTGATATTATGGGACAAATATGTGAAGCACCCTGCAAAATCTCTTCTAATTCAACATTGGTAACATCATTAAGTGCTGGCCATTCATTGGCACATAATATTACTCCAGTTCCTCTTAGTAACAATGCTCTTACAAATGGCAAAATACCAAGAACTATATCAACTCCACTATTATCAACAAACACAGCAGCACAATGGTGAACAGTTTTCTGTAACAATGAAGTGCATTTTTTAAACAATGTCAGTCTTTCATGTTTTTTATATTATCATGCCCTGACACAATATTAATGCCAAAATGGTTTTGTCTTACCTCCAGCTTATCAAGCCATTTGTCTAAGCCATCATACAACCATGGCCTTTTCTGAATTTTCTCTAGTGCTTCATACAGTCCACTATTTAAAATACTGGTTACTGCCTGGGCTCCCCAGTCAAACATATTACCTAAAAAAATTAACTTAATGAATTAATTAAGATGGCAGCCCTCGTTAGCTATTCATGCTTTTATTACTGAGTATTTTGTAAGTACATAATATTACAATTTTTATATTATTATAAGAATATATTAATAGAAGCTATTCATAATGTATTTCATTTGGCAAGTTGACTGCTGTATTCTCCTAAAATAATGAATACAGAGATATTCAGTTTACTAATGGACAATATCCAAGAGGAATAACTATTTATTATGTAGCTTACACCCAGGAGAATATATTTTTTTTGCATGTTAGTTAGTATGTATTTAAGTTAAATATTAAATATGAAATTACCAGCCAACACTCCTCTTATAATTTCCATCCACCTCTGTCGTTCATCTGGCAGAGCATCTAACTCAGCTAGTCGTGTAGCTAATGTGGCCAATGCACTATCATTTTCATACTTTTTTTGTTTTTTCCACAAATCAAAGAATCCCTGTGAACGTAGGCATGTTTCATTGATGTCAAGAAGTAATCGTATGGTCAACTGCCCATGAGCACTAAAATTAATAAAAAAAACACATTAATTTTAAAATTGGCCTCTTATGTGCTGAAATGAAGAATGAAGCTACACAATATTTCTTATTATGTATCTTATTAGATGGAGATGAGAAGTTATTTATGAGACTGCTAAATATTTGAAGAGATAGCAGAAGTGTCGATTGTTCTGTTGTTTGTCCATGTACAACAACAAACACTGAAACCAAAACTTTTTCTAGATGTCATTGAGGCTTCTAAAACAATCACTCTTTCACAATATATTAAAATGATAGGTACATTATTTATTTATAGCTTACCAGTAATATTGAACTTGAGCCAATTTATATACTGATCCTCCTCTAAGGATACCCACTAAACCTGATATTGGCTACTTTAAAACAATTCTATTGTAAATCGAAAATAACCAGTGCAATGATTGATTTCCACTTCAAAATCATAATACTTACAGAGGATTAATTCTGAGCTCCTTTAATGCTTCTACGTAACAAGTTTTAAATTTAAGTGCGCGTATTTCTACTGTAGGGTCTTCATTATTGAGGAGTGCAAAATTTACATACTTCTCGGTCAGTTTTTCACAAGTATTGAGCCAATATTCTCTAGCTTCTTCATCGACTAGTAAGTCCAAAGTATCGGGATTATATTTATCTGGCTCAAGCAAAATGTGTGAGAGGCCAAAATGATCCATTCTGATTCGTTTAAAAAATAAACTAGTGACACGTATAAAATAACAAGGTATGATTTTCATTTGCTATAGTTCTAGCCCATTGTATTGTTTTATCATTATGCAAATACATAAATTATCTTATCAAAACTATCTCTATTTTTCTTGCGACAAAGACTAATTGAATCACAGATAAGATATGAAAATGTAAATGAAATAAAATTATGATGTTCTCTTTAGTTACTAGATGAATGAGTTATTTATTTATTTAAACCAATATTACATCGGTAAAATGAATGCGAATAACAAATTAACATTTATTTATACATAAAAAAGGTACTAGTCGATAAGTATTTAGTCGATTCAAGAATTGAAGAAGATTCAAATAATTACAGTCTCTTATCTTATTAGATATCAAAATCTCAACCACCGAGTATTCGCTTTGCGCTTGCAACATTCAACGTTCGTTTGTTAGCTTTTTTTACTGTCTCTTGTTTATGGTTTGTGTGACGGACTTCAATTTGGTTCGTAGATACTACTACAGAGTTTCAAAAATGTGTTTGAAATGGATAAAACTAGTTATTTTCAAAAAAGACTGAGTTTTTTACGTTGTGAGTTATAGTATAGTATGTGTGTATTAGTTTATTGTAATTTGTGTTGTGATTTTAATGATTGATGTAACGAACCAGTGTACGGCAAGATGGACGAATTGTCTAAGGGCATGACACAAACAGGAAACACCGCTACAACTGACAAAATTCAAGAAAATGATGATGGTAATTATGAGAATATTGATATACTGTTGTAAATGTCTTTAATGTAGTAAAATTCTGATCGCATCAGGTTTGAAGTCTTTTCCAAGAATTAAATATTTAAGTAAACAATAACTAAAATAATTAGAAAAATCTAAATAATTCTTATATCTTTCAAAGTTTACAACACTGATTTCAAAAAACTTAACGAGATGCTTTAATAGTTTAGGATTCTAAAAACTAAAATATAAGGTTTTGGTAACAGAATTTGTCTTTGCTTTGTTACGTGATAAATGTGCCTTTATTAATATGTAAATTTTATTATTTTGATAATATAAAAGGGATTTTGTTCAAGTTATGTTTAATATTATTTAACTATTCAATATTCTCTTATAAAACAGCCCTCAAGTACAAGCAGTTCATACCTAGTGTCCAGTTGAAAATACAATTACTATTGTCGTGTTTCCACACAACCACCAATAATAGAAGTAAATCAGTATATTATAGACTGCCAGTAATTGTTCTAAGTCTACAATCCTCCACTATAACATGTTAATATCCTTGATAGCAATGTAACAATGTTTAATTGCTTTTCAAATGTCTTTTCAATGCCATTCTCTTCATAAATAATATTACCTGCATGTTTTGTAAAGTAGACGTTACTTAATTAGCTGAGTGCACTACATTCTATTTTTTGTTTTGAATTATGAAGTAGTTGACTTCTCATTTATGTAATAATAACACTGCCCAAACTTAGGTTCTATCTAATATTCAATTCCAAGGGTTCAGTTACAAAACCAACTGAATTCATAAATCGGATTTTCAGATATTATACTTACAATTATTAATCATAGCAAAATAAAATATCAGTTTGATTTATTTTTAAAAGGTAAGTCTGCTTTATTTTTTTCGATAGTAATTGTACAAACCCTGGAATATGAAATTATCTTCGATTATATATATTTTCAAGATTGATGCAACTAGAAATTCTTTACTAAAATCTTCACTTGAAATATTTACCAGATTTTGCTAAACTTTCTTAAATATACATGTGTATACTTATGTTTTTGTTGATAATCTAATACAAACAGCATAATAAAGTTATTAAATTATAAAAGTCTTGACCCTATGCTTTGATAACATTAACAACCTCTTAATGATTTAAATAGATATCTAGCAATTGACTGATATCTTTAACTGCAATTACATATGCTGAGGTAGTACATACATGTAGGTGTTTGTCCTCAACATGATTGTGTAATCAATTGCTGGGTTTCCTTAATCCATCTACAATAACCCTAGTGTTTGATTTTGTAAAAATATTATAATTAAAAATATATCTTAAAAAGCATAAAATACTTATATATATTTGCACAAATAATGAAATAATCATAAAATATCTCAAATGGTATGCAACACACTTGTGACACTCAACACTACTGCAGGTGTACTACAGTGAGTAACACCCATTCCATAAGAGCCTGGATTATAATTATGCACCATGAAAGTGTCAAAAAATATGTGCAAATTTGTGAGAAACTATAAAGAAAGTCATGTTACAATATTATTACTCAGAAAATTGGTGGGGGGTAGCTTAAACTAGGAGACAGACATAGGATACTTGTAATCTAAGATTGCCCAAAAATTATATGAGAACAGAAAAAAGGCGACTCTGCATATCAAGTCGCAAGCAGAAGCTAGTACTAATAAATGTGCAAATAAAATACCTGAAATATAACTACATTCAGTCAAATGCACATGACTACATTCAGTCAGTGACTTTGCCCATGTTCCCATGAGATGTCTATATGTTATTCTGGCTTATCTATATGTTATTCTAGACAATAATCGACTAAAAAATCTATTAAAACTATTCATGTGTGGCAAGGTAGAGTATACATAACAAAAATAAAAAAAAAAATAATAAGATAAACTACATATGTATCTTAATAATTTTTTTGGATAAAACCATCATAAAGTAATAAAAAAACATGCCGAGTGTGTCATGGTCTCCCTTTGCATGATCTTTCCGTACATTTAACAGTCAGTTTATACCGGTTTTATTAACTATCACATCATATTATGAAGATGTATGTATAAACTTGGAAAATCTTATAGATTTGAAGAGTCTTGTAATTCTAAGTAATGTTAAGAAACTTCATACTTCAGATTATGGCAAAATATTGCCTGTAAATTACATACAATTGTCATCTAACTTCCTATATTCCCTTACTTACCAGTACTAGCGAATTATGCTTCCTCAGTCAAAAAGATGAAGCATAAACACCAAAATTATAGAGTTACATATATGCATTTTCATATGTAAATATGCAATATGATATTAATCTGGGCTCTGCATATTATGTGGGGCTTTGTTGTTACCAATAGCAGTGGAAAACAAATTTTAAAAGCATTTAATGCAATGTTATTATTATAGAAAATAGGCATTTTAATTTTTTTTTTAATCTTACTACCATTGTTTTTAGCTAAAACAAGGAAACATTTTACTTATATTTTTGAAGATTGTTAAACTTGTTTGCTATTTTAAATGCTCGTTGAAAACTAATACTTATCTAATTTTAACTAATTCACCTACTTTAGTTGTATGTAGCTCATTTGCATTTCTTCCTTTATGAAACAGGATAGATATTTTAAGGATTTTTGTTTTAGCTTTTTTTTTGTTATTGTACAGTTGATTTTCAGTTTGCGTAAAATAACTGTCTAACAGTCGCCGCCTTTTTACGGGCAAGATTGTTGAAGAGCACTGCTTTTGCAGATGGCGTAAAGCGTGGTTTGCGGCACGCACGCCAACTATGCTAGCGTTGGTAGAACAACTGCGGTCATACCTCGGTGGAGGATGTGAGTGCGAATGCGTTTATAGCATGGCGTGTTCTCGACAATGTCCCATGATCATTTGATTCACCAATAATCCATAATTTATACCCTATGAAAATTATTAATTCTTGAAAAGTTGTTATTTCCGAAAATAAGATTTTTAACATGTTAATCTGTTGCCAACATAATAATATATTAGAGACTAAAACAACAATATTTTAAGTAAGTACTACTTTTTATTTAAACCTACATTAGTTTATACCCCATATCATAATACTCATTTTGGCATTATTGCTTAACCCGTCGTATGTCTAAACGTGGATTCACGCGAGACACGATTTATTTTCTGTTGTCTCATATCACAGGCATTCGGCAAGCGGTTAAGTATATTATTTATATTTTGGTGGATTGAGTAGTGGCAGCCGTCCCAAACATCTAACAAAGTATTATTTTTTAGCCGTTTACTACTGATTGTATTGGAGACTCATCTACTTTATAGTCAGCATAATCTTTTGATGAAAGGGAATCGTCCTCTGATTGTGAAGTGATGGATAAATATGAAAAAAGTGTACTATTTTTTCGCATTTGAGTACTCAGTCGAAGTATTATCCGTCACTTTGTGACCAGATAGCAATATCTTTTAAAATGTTGTGCTAACTGTAAGTTAGATTAGTTACTAGTCGGGAGGAGGCGACACAAAATGTTTTTTACGTGTTTTGACGGCTGCCGCTACTCAATCCGCTACCGAAGCCGCAGTTGACAAACATAACATTTCTTGATAGGGCTCAGTAAAGTATTTTGCGGGATTTCGACTGAGAGGAAATTGGTCATGAAAATCTGTCATAACCATAACATCACGCTGAAAGATTCTTTCTTACTTGCAAGCTTTGTTTTCTTTCTTAAAATCATTTATATATGCATCTTTCTGATAAGTAAATGAAGAAATATTCATAGTGCACGGTCACCATCAACAACCTAATATAGCACTACTTTCAGATCTTTGAACTGATTTAACTCAATTCGGACTGAGTTTTTGATATAAGACTCCATGCCTAATCCATAAGCGTGCGGCATTAAGTCCACCCTTGTGCTTGTTTGTGTGCATAAAGCTTTTTAAATAAATAAAATATTTTTTGTATTCATTATTAATTATTCTGCATCAGTTTTTCCATATCCGATTAAATGCCGCGAAAAATGAAAAGGCATCACTCTCTATACAAATTAGGTCATTGTCATTTTGACGTTGGCAATAGAGCTTGCTTGACCCTAAGTGCCTATATTAATTTTTGTGCAAAATCAACATAGACCTACTAAATTATGCATATTGTAACTTGTACCTGATACATACAATTTTGTTCAAAAATGTGATAATATATTTTCTAGACATGGGAGTGAGATTTATCTAATAATATGATTGACGTTATCTCTACTAAGTTACTGACATTCGTCTTGAGTGTATTGTTTGTCTGATTGGATACTTCAGTGACCTACCCAATGAGTGAGGTTACAGGCAACAACGTTTTGCGTTTGCGTAGTGTTGCATGCCAAGAGTGCCGGGTGTTCCCTGTGTCGCAAGCGTGACTGACCCTGAACCATTAACGTTAGAAAACATATCCCGAAAGGTCACATTTCTTGTTACATATTTACTTACCCACTATTTTTTGCTTATATTCCTACCTCATTATTCAATCGAAGGCGTGGCTCTAACTTAACTATATAAAGATTACTTAATAGTATGTAATTGTAATTTTTAAATGCTTCGTTTTTGTTTTTCCTTTGTCACTCTTACTCCCGAATATTGAAAGGCTACTCAATTTTAAGTACTTAACTTGTGCCATCTCTGTTATTTTATAAATAATTTTTAGTGAAAAAATATGTTAAAATTAAGTAGTGGTTGAGTATTACGACATTATTCGTACAGGTGTCTATTGAGAAGTTCGCGTTACAGTAGAGGTAGTCTGTTACTACTACTGCAATTCTTTATGAACTTAAATGAATAAAAGATATTAACACTTATAGTATGCTATGTACTGTATAGAATGGTCAAAATTGACTTAAAAGTGTTAAACTGTAACAAATATTAATGTGTGCCGATGACCGATGTTTACATGAGTTGCATGGAATTCGATCGGCATACCTCTGCTTGTGAATTCTTGAAGGATCAAAGGAAGCGCTGGATGTCAGCATCTGTTTCTTTTCAAGGGAGATTTGTCGTAATCAGATAAATCGTGCTCACTGCTCACGACTTCCTCATACGAGAATTATTTTGTATTCTTCTTAAGAATGGATCTCGGTCTTGTTTTAATGTACCTATTATGTTGAACAAAATCTATGATGCAAATAAAATAGCTTTCTGTGTTCAAAACATCAGTATTTTTGGTTTCTTGGGAAGAGTAAAATTTCGTGGCCCTGTAACACTGGTATCTACTATCGTCAATTTTGGTCTTCTTTTTTAATCTAGTTTTCACTTTTATATTTATCAAGCAATATTCAGCATTTAAATATATCATTATAATTATAATAATGAGTTTAATTTACAAATAACATAACATCACGCCTTTTGTCCCCTAAGGGGGTAAAAGGGGCAGAGGTGCACATTGCGGCACTTAATGCCACTGTACAATGTAACACCCACTTTTCACTATTTATGTTATGAGTCCCATGTATAATTCACAAATATTGCAATATATCTGGATCCTTGCAAGGGTATCTGGGACATCAAGTGTAGTTAAGCGTGGATTCTTTGTTTCTTTTAAAGTCTACCATACATTGAGACATTTACATTATATAATGTAATAAAATATTCGAGTATAGTCGTAATCTGTCTGAGCCCCAGTCTGTACTATTTTAAATCGGAAAATGTGCGCACATATATCATCATAGCAATTTTATTGGTCGAGAGTTTAATTCAACTAAACCAAAACAATCTCCAATAGCGCTTGTAATTTAGTTTGATTACGTACATATAACGTTATTTTAGGGCATAATCGAGCTTCTAAAGTTAAGGATGATGTTAACTTAGTGGCACAATCGATTAGTTTAAAGAAAATCATTTTAATACTATAGGCCTCAGTGCTATTTATTACTTACTTTCATAATACGTATATTAAGAAAGGACAAGCATTAAGCATAATTATAATATTTTCACCAGGCTCGTCGACTTCAGTAGTATACGTGAATGAAACGTGTTTGGAGTGTGAAAGGGTGCGGGCGGCGTGCGAGCGGCTAGGCACGGTGGCGGTCGCACCAAGCCCAGAAGCCCTACCACCAGCTCAGCAGACCCCTGCTCCGCCATCTTACGTTATCACCTCACCATTCGAAGGCGACCTCTTTGACACTGCACACAGAGCAAAATACAGGTCAGTGATTTATTTATATTGTATATTTTACTATTAATTGTTGTTTCATAGTCATGTTTAGAAAACATACGACTATTGTAAAATCACCAAATACTTATATAGAAAAGTGAAAGTAAAAATAAATCGAACATATTGTGGCAAATCAGTAATTTATAATTTTATTTGCTTGACTTGTAAAGTCGTAACAAAGGCTGATGTGCGACAACTTCACTCATATTTGTAACACAACCCAACGATAGACAGCAGTGAAATTAAAAATGTAGTCTGAAACTCTGGGTAAATCTCAAACTCTCGTTAGGTAAAGATACGATTAGTCAGTTTTTAAAGCACCATTTTGTGAATTATTAAGAATCTAAGTACGTAGGTATATCCAGAATGTTTAAAGTATGGAAACATACGAGTTAACGAGAATATTGACATTTATTTTGGCATAGCGCACTTTTGATTGGTAGACCAGACTACTAATAAGCGCAACAAATGCTTTGTTGCGCGTTTACAATGCCGTCATTTTGTCTTACACTCTCATGCCTTTGTACATGTAAACGCAATCGAGGATACGTCTCTGGTGACGTTCAATTAGCCTAAAATAGTGCTCATTAACTCGTCGAGTACCGGTTTTATAGACACAATTAAAGAACAATAGGTCGCGGTCACCGGTGACCGCTTGGTGTTTGACAGTTTAAGATAAAAATGTTGTGATAATCCTCTTTTTTTAGATTTGCAAAATTACTATTGAATTAAGTACCGTTACGACGATGGTATCGGATAACTACTTCAATAGTCAGTTTGATTTATTATAGTGCTATATCTACTTGTTAATTTTCCTTAATCACACACAATTAATATTGTTTCGTTTTAAATAATCACCGGTATAGTATTTGCAGTGCCTTTTACTGAGAGAGCTGACAAAAAACGATGCTTATTAACATGTTTAAAATGATAAAAAATCAAACTTCCAACTACATACTTATTAAACTTTTTCTAAAGATAATAAAAAAAATGCAGTTTTTTTACTTTCTCTGAATATGACTCAGTGGTTATCGTATAATTGGTACGAATATGACAATGTACAATAAGCATGCGTGTCTTGAAAATGTGAACAGTCAGGGCTGCGAAGTGCTGTTGGTGATGATTGGCTTCTTGATGAATTACCACTTTGAAAAAATACACCGCCACCGCATCGCCGCATAATATATCGTAACAAAAGTGAGTCCTTTATGTCGAAAGATTATTTTTATTCCACATAATTTTCCTCCAAGGCCTAAATAGGGTATTTACCATTTTTCCTTATTATCAGATTACGACTTATCCATTCCAGTCTAGATAATAATTATGATCTGATCTGATCTAGCGACTAGTTCAACCTCAACCTTAATTTCCTCTAGTTGTAGGTATTTTGTTTGTATCGAATCTATGATGTGTCTTGAGTTTGATTTATGATTGGCAATTTGGCCGCCCCTTATCATGCAATGTGTTCACTTGTGTTTATTAAACACCACCGCTGTTACTTTGAGCTGTACAGCATCCGGAGGCGCTCTGTATCGTTATTGTTACCGTGAAGGTATTTAAAGCTATTCTAATAATTCCTGTATGCCATGATCAGAATGAATGAAGAATGCATTTAATTCGTTTTGAAGTGATGCAGTAGGCGACTCTGATGAAATTTAATTGGTTTTATGTCTTATTCTTATGTTTATTATTTTTTTATTTTTTATTTTAAAAGACTTCATGCACATACTATTGTACAAGGTGGGCTTAATGCCTAGGGCATTCTCCTCCAGCCAGACCTTTGGGTGATGCAGAGACAAAAACAATGGTCGATGCAAGAAGCAAGCGTATTTAAGACTACAGAAATGCATAAAAAAAGGGTAGTATAAACTTACATAAAATAAATCCCTATATAAACTTACATGTATATGACATAACAATAAACATACACAATTATATTACATATACTACTTAGACGTAACATAACTATACATAGTAGGTATATTGATAGTTACGACTCTGCCAATCTCTTCAAAAGTAGCTCCCGCACCTTCCGCTTGAATGACAAACGACTGGGCACCATCCTGATATCGGGAGGGAGCGCATTCCACAGAAGAATAGACTGAATAAAAAAGGAGGAATGAAGAAATTTAGTACGATGTGTTGGACATTGAAGGAGGCGATTATTAGAAGAGCGAAGATATTTGCTGTGGTTTGCGCATGTATATTGAAAGTGAAAGGACAGATAATGAGGCGAATGAGGCGAGTCAAGAACAGAGAAAAGAGTGGTTAGCGCCCTTAGTTCCCTGCGCTGTCGTATGGGCAACCACTTTAATTGCAATCGGTATGCAGAAACATGATCATATCTACGCAGGTTGAAAACGAATCGAATGCAGTTATTCAGAAGTCGGTCAAGTTTATTGAGGAGATCTGCATTCAGGTCATAATAACACACATCAGCATAATCTATAATAGGGAACAACAGGGCCTGTACCAGCATTGCCTTGGTGTCGGACGGGAGCAAGTTTTTAACGCGATAAAGAGCCCGCAGCGATCCAGTCACCTTTTTGCTCACACTAATGACCTGTGCATGCCAGTCAAGATTGCTGTCAATATGTAAACCGAGGTCTTTGACGTCGCTAGTAAACGGAACGATCGCACCGTCGAAAAGGACAGCGGGTAGAGATGCAACGTCAACCTTACTAAGAGAACGAGAACTTCCTATCACAATCGCCTGACACTTCTTGGGGTTTACCGCAATGCCGAACCTTACAGACCAATTATTAATAGCGGATAAGTCGTTGTTAATTTTTGAGATGGCATACGGCAATCCGTCGAAGCTGGTCTGACAGTAAATCTGTAAGTCATCCGCATATAGATGGTACGCACACCGAAGCTCGGAAGTGATGAGATTAATAAAGATGGAAAATAAGAGAGGTGACAGTATACCGCCTTGAGGAACGCCAGCCTTTAATTCGCGCCAGTTAGATGAATTATCACCGTGCTTGACCACTTGCTGACGCTCCCGAAGATAAGAAGAGAACCATTCCAGTGACTCGCCCGAGACCATAAGGTGGGATAGGATAGCCAACAGGATGTCATGACTGACCATATTGAAGGCATTCGAGAAGTCAACCAAAACCAGGACTGTGGCTTTGGTATCCTCAAAGCCGGTTCTAATATCGCCAGTCACTTTAAGGAGGGCGGAAGTAGTGCTGTGGCCAGGTCTGAAACCAGATTGTAGAGGACTAATCAGTGAATTCCGATATATGTAATTAGAGAGCTGTTTATGAACACAGGCCTCGAGCACCTTGGACAGGAATGGGAGTATGGATATTGGACGGAATTGAGAGGGAAGGGTGAGAGAAGAGGCTTTAGAGAGCGGACGGACAAAGGCTCTACGCCAGAGGGAAGGGAAAGTACCGGAATAAAGGGAAAAGTTGATGACATGGGTTATTGCTGGTAGGAGGTGATCTAAAATGGTAACAATCATGTATCGAGAGATGTTGTCACAACCTACCGCTTTGGATTTGATTGAGAGGATGATCCTTCCGACCTCAGTCGAGTCAACTGGAGCGAAGCGGAAAGGATTAGTGATAGATGGACGCGTCAGACCAGAGATAAATGTAAGAGTGTTACGTTTGACTAGAGGGTCCATGGTAGGTAATGTTGTGAAATGGTCGTTAAGACCATCTAGACAAACTGTACAGGGAAGGTCTGAATATTATCTGCCTTAAATTGTCCTGAAATATGTAGTTAATAGTTATATTAATTACTAGCTAATCCGGCGAACTTCGCACCGCCTAATCATAGTATAAAGAACAAAGTAGGTTATCTTCATACAAATGCTCCGCGCGCGGCTTATATGTGTGCGCCATAGTATCTATGCGTCGACGCACGCACACTTTAACAAAATCTCGACCCGTTTCTCAGTGCGCCAGGCAGGGCTAACACTGCACGGGGTTCGCGCGCGCTTCACGGCTTTTCGGCACTGTTCAATGAAATAAAAAATGTCTGATAATCGTAGAAGAACGTATTGCTGTGTGTTTGGGTGTCTTAATAATTAATTGATTCCAGAACTGTCTCTGTTCAGATTAGGTACCTATTGAACAGGAAAGGTAAGCTAGTCACTTTTTCTAGCATAAATATAATTTGTAGGTACTTGATGAAGATACCTACTTACTTATTCTTACTCTTATCATTCTTCATAGTTCCTACTCAACCAGAAATGTAATTACCTACTATACTTAAATATTATAAGAAAATGTGGTATTGTATTGTTAATTTACAGTTTATCTGATTTGTTAAGAACGTAGCCGAGTCGCATTTTTCCATATAAATGTATTCCCAAATTTACTTTCTGAATACTATGTATAGAGCTAAAGTTTATTTTAAGAAGTTTATAATCTTTTTATAAGCTTTTTATTTTTACTAAATTTATAAATTGATAAAATATTCAATCATAATATGCTTTTCATTTCATAAATTTGGATCAAGTGCTGCTTGTTCGAAAATATTAACTAAAAGTAAAAGTGACAACCCTGGGGATCAACGCAAGAGTAGGCTAATAACTCGGCGGGCGGCCTTAGACAACCTACTGTATATGTTTATACTGTGGCCTAATTATTGGAGGCATAATTAGTAAGTCACAAACACACGACACAATACTTTTTTAATTTTATTGAAATTTGTTGCTTTTAGATTTTTAGGAATATTAATTAAAGAATTATAGTATAGATGCACAGCAAAGAGACATTTACATTTCAAGCGACATTTTACCATAAACAATTTTTTATTGAGTGAATACTTACAAATATTTACACTCTAATTATATTTTTGAGAGTTGGTAACACTGTAAGGTTGGCATCAAACATGTCAACACATTAATTCTTTTTATATTTTGAAATTTAAATACACGATGTTATGACTTATGAGCAAAGTTGATATTATGTTGTCGATTCAAAAGTCTTGTTTTAATGCGTTCTTCAATTCGAGTGGAACTGAGAGTACAA